ATAATGAGTAACGATAGACTGCGGGTACATTGATAACAACAGGACGGAGGGTGTTAATTCAAATTAATCAATATGTCCTTGGGTTAGTCCAAGGTACATGTGTACTTGGTCTTTTTGTGTCCTGTACGTTACTACTGTTGGCCTTGTGTTGGTCTCAGCGGTGTATCTAGGGCATTAACGCCGGATAATACAATGTCATATTACAGGGCCTGATCACTTGACAGGAATGTGCATGTGAAACCAACCAACCCACCAATTTCACTGACCTCATTTTATTAAATCACACTTGTATAAGTTTAATAGTTTATGATCATTCCAAATGCTGTTTCCTCCTGAAGAAACTACATTGTTTATTAATTTCATTGTTTGACAAGTCAAGTGTCCAGGGATTCACTGTCTATGGTCAGAGCCCCAGAGCCTTGGGGCCCTTAGGGGTACCTGTAGCAATTGTATTTGTAATCAATTTGTATTAACAGAAACTTTTTTGTAATCATGTTTATAAATAGTGATTATCTAATCCAGATAGCTATGAGCAGTCTACCGGTATGTAAATAGTATAGAGGATAATGTCTTGTGCAAACCATGTTGTGAGTCATTGGTGGGATGTGGCCCTTACTCTTTGCTGTGCCACTCAAAACCGAAAATATAGACTCGACAGCTTTGATCAGGACTCTGCATCCAGCTCCTTAAAATGCTTCCAGCTTTGTGGAGTCCTGAGAAACAGTGGCAGAAATGAAGGGGGGGGGGGAGCACTTTAGTTCTGTAAAGCTCTAAATAGAGCTGCATACACTGTATATGTACATTACATTTACGGTAATTTGTGGTCCTTTTTCTGTGCATTCTGTAACCTCTTTGCTCAGAGATTGAAATCTAACTGTTATTTCTGTATTCTTCTTCTTGGTTTGCTTATTCCCCGTATTCAAACATGGAAAATGAAATCACAATACCAGTGAATTCATGCATGATTGTATTTTCTGTACATGTACATTGTAGTATGGCCTACTCTTTTTCTGTTAAAAAAAACTTGGAGGGGTGTAATAAACTAATAATTGACAGGAAGACTACCAATCTACCACAGAGGCCATGTACATCATATTCTGATTGATGTTATGCTCTAGAGATAACATTGTGCAATTGTCACCATTCTGAAAACTTATTTGCAAGTTGGTCTATTCAGAGCCAGAAGGTCATTACGATAAAATCACCTCTATGTTCAAGAGATTTAACACCCTTGTGGTTCCAGAGTCCGAACAGACAAATTGTAAGTTTGTGTAGTTTCTCTGCCCTACTAGGGCTACAACATGTAGGCTATACAATGTACATGTTCTTTGACCTTTACTGTAAAAAATAAAACATTCAACTTTGGTGAATACTTTATATGATACGTCTAAACTAAGATTTTTCACTCAGGAAGTACACGTACAGTGTGGTTTGCATTGGCAACTGAATTCCAGATCTTTGTTTTACATTTCAGAATAGATCCATCTGTATTCTCTTATTCTGCTTACTCTACATGTATATTTCATGGATCATATTGTGGCTTACCAGCATGTCGAGTGTTTTTTGAGAATGATTTCATGTACATTTTTATTTCCTATTTAATTATTATCATTAATATTATTATTTATCTTCTGTATGCATTGAATTATAGTAAGGGAGACTACATACAAAAATGTTTAGTGTCTCGAAAAGATGATACTTTCATTGGTATATTTCAAGAAGTTTCTAACATTATGTTTACACTAACTTAATAGACAAAGTTTTAAGAATTTACTCTGTAATGTCATACTGGTACATTTACAGGGTGTATGACATTCAAGCACTCTTTGATTTGGGTAATAATTGGTTGATAATGCGTGATTTTTTTTCTCTGAATCAAACTAACCAGTATTATTTACTTGCCAGGGATGCATGTAAACACTTAAAGAAGTTACTTTGCAGAGCCCTCAAAGAGAAGAGTAGGAACACTAAACATAGCTACTCTGGGTATAAAATAAGAATATATTGGTATTATTGTTATTATAATTTTGAAGATGCTGCAAAGTGTAGTTTAGTGCAATTGGAACAGGGACCTTTCTTTCCAAAGAAGAAACATGTACTTTGCTATACTAAAACCGAAAGCGATATAAAATCGCTTTGCCATTTACAGGAGTGCCGGCACGTTGGAGCCTACAATGTAGACCAGAATTTGATTAGATTTTAATAGCATCATGGTAGGATATTTGTCATGTAAATTATGAGTGATGATTTATGCCTTAAATGAGCTGGTTATTTCTTCCAAGGTTAAGGAGCATTGCCACAATTCTGTTTTTGCAATGCATGTTGTCAAGTGTAAATGGAATCCAGGGATGTAACATGTGTACTTTCATTGCATTAAAAACTTGGAATTTATAAATAAATTTGGCATATAGTACTGCTTGGTGTGTGGTAAGAGGAATGGTATTGCCAAAACAAATATTATTTTTGTGCACAATGATTTTTATCTTGTAACTACCTTCAAGAAAGGAAGAAATCAAAAGTTGTGATTATTGTGATTTGTAGTAATAAATGAACTAATTAGCCTAACGATTTGACTATGAGCATTCTTTTTTGTGTGTGTGTGTGTACTGTAATGTATGTATGTACATGTAGGGCACTGAAATCAATGAGGCCCTACATGTTTATATACAGTTGACTCTGCATAGAACTCAAAGTTGCACAAGTCGATTTCCCCCCAAGTCAAACTCAGCTAAATGTGTTGTTCTCACTTTGTAAGTCTGATTTTGCAGTCCCAATAGATTCAACTTATGCAGGGTTAACTGGGTGTATAGAAAGTGGATTGTAAAGATGGCATACAAAACAGCTTCTGAAAATGCAATACATTGTACTTCATTAATAGTAGATACAATCTTGAAAGCATGCAGCAACTTCATTATGGCAATGCATTGACCTGTATCACAAGTACATACCGGTAGACGTAAACACCGTCCCCTCCCTTTTCTCTCTCTCTCTCTCTCTCTCTCTTTCTCTTTGTCCTTGCATATCTCCCTCACCATATTGATATCCCTGTACATTTATAATAGAATGAACTCGACTGGTAAGAAATGAATACCAGAAGGTAATAAAGGCTCACACATATTCATCAAGGCATGACAAGTACCAATACACAGGTTCAGCATCAAATTTGGAATGGACAATGATACAGAGACACAAGTAACAAAGAACTATGCCCTGGAATGTCATTTGTTTGAAAACTATCCTTGCAGCTTATCATGTCTGCTTAATTCTAGTCCTTTTCACAACCACACTGAACAAACCAAGCCATTTAGTGCAGGAACATATGGCCAACTGGCCTGTGAGACCTGTAGGACACGATGGTGTATTATACTGTAGGATCCATAATTGCACAGTGGTTGTCCCATTTTATTAAAGGCAGGCTTTCACTATGAACATGACAGACAATGAAAGCGGACAAAATATACAGTTCCTCAGGTAGACAAAGGAACATCCCTTCACCGCTATTATGTAAAAATGTGTAGAACAGGTGAATATGCATGTGACACCTGTTCTACACATTTTGACATAATAGCTGTGAAGGGATGTCCCTTTGTCTACCTGAGGAACTGTATATTTTGTCCGCTTTCATTGTCTGTCATGTTCATAGTGTTTACTACTTCAGCCAGAAGGGATTAGACCACACAGCGAGCCAGCGAGGTTACTGTGACAGGTGGCTATCGATCTCATTAACTCAGCTCTCATTTAACATAAGAAAAAGAGGATCATGGGGGACCAACAGGCACCGATTGGGGAAGTTTTCTATATAGAGGGAGCAAGTAGCTACAAGTAGGACAGTGTGCCTTTAATACAGGGACATCTGACTGATGTGTGGGCATACAATACATTGCATTGTGGCAGCCATAAATGGCATACTGTAGTGTAGCGGGGGGGGGGGGGGGGGGGGGGGGGGGTGTGAAGAGGAGAGAGAGAGAAGAAAAAAAGGATGTGTGAAGAAGGAACGAGAAAAAGTTGCTCTACATTTGTAACTACACAGCACTTCTGATTCAGTGAATGTTAGTAATTCCTCTCTCCCTCTAAAAGATGAGAGAAAAAAATGCCCCTCCTGATCCTCAGAAAGCGAAAGATAGAAATGACACCTCTGTTTGCAGGAATAACTAGTCTGGTGTTATTTGACATTCAGTGATCCGCCCAAGTTCAACATTTCTTACAGAGACAAGGAAGTACATACTACATGTTTATATAGTCTTGTGTGCATACTTCCAGTCGAGTCGGGGAGAAAAATGATGGGATTTTTGTATCTACGTTTTATTGTACTTGGCTAAAACTCTAAAAATGTTAATACGTCAAATTAAATCATCAGTCTGATAAACAGACAGTTAATGACTAAATTATTCTTACACCTTGTAAAATTGAAGTATTTAATTTGTTTTTGTTACTCAGGAATGAAAGGTGAACTGTTTGAATTACAGCCTTTTTTTAATTTGTTAGATGTAAGCTTTCAAGAAACAAGTCGGAACAAATCACTTTTCATCTTACTTATAAATTTGCAAAACTTGGGAAAATTTTAGGTTATGAATAATTAATTCACTGTAACTATTCCTACTTGCATCAATTTCTCCTTTTTTTTCCTTTTTTTTTTGGGGGGGGGGGGGGGGGAGGGGGGGGAGGTCAATTGATCATTAAGAAAGATTAAAAAATTTACCTGCGGTCTGTCCCTGTAAGATAGCTTCCAATAGGAAAGTAAAAATATCACCAATTTTACCATCTTAATTAAGATGCTGTGTGAAAATTATGCTGTGTGAAAATTATGCTTTTAAACAATTATTCATTTCTATCCAAGCATATAGAAGTTTGAAGGACACAACATGTATCTGAAATACTTCATCATATTATGTACCTTTCAAATTCTTTGGGAATCATGATATATAGTATTGAGTTTATTGACCATCAGTAAACACTATCATCAAAATAAAACAAGAGGAACAACAAAAACACCTGCAATATTTCATAAAATTCACCACAGAGTTGTTATCACTCACTTTAATCAATTGATTGATAGATTTAAATAACTGTAAAAAAAAAATCAATTTCATTCTCCCTTCAAATAAGACATGAAAAGTATATAAAATATATAAATATGAACATGAATGTATATGATATTTACATTTTGATTAACTAACAAAATTTCTACATAACAATTACATGCAAGGCACGTATTAGATTAGGAATGCTAGCTTTATGAATACAATATTCTGGAATAATTCAATTACATTGTATATAATTTCTAGAAAATTCATTCTCGAACTCATTATACATGTACTGTCGAAACAAGACCTTGCTCATTTTGAATGATCGACATATGGATACATTATATACAGATACCCAATACAGTCAAATTTGTGCAAGTCGTATCGACTGGGACTTAATATCAAATTGCTTCTCCTTAGATAAGATTCAATTTACATGGGTAAAAAAAACACAGACGAGAAGTTTTGCGATTACCTTTAACATATGCGAGTTTGACTTTTGCATGGTTGACTGTATGTATAATGAGTAACATGTGATGGGAAGCAAGAATATACTTGAATATACAATATATTGTTCCAGTACTGATTTAATTATGATTGAGTACAATCTTGGTCTAAATACAGAAACTATGGGTAAACGAAATACATATGATATAGACAGCGTTTACTTGAAACATTCCCAAATATAACTTAGAAAATATATTCATAGTACTATAATTTTTGGATAAGTAGATTTTACATTAAATATTCACTACATTGCTCTTAATTTCATTGAGTAAATAAAGTTATAACTTAATTCGCAGAAGCAGCAAATGTCAACAGAGGCACATCGGGTACAGAATCACAATTATACATAAAGCACCATTTTTTTCCTTCATATATCCTATATAATACCTTTTAAAACAAAGTTCCAAATCAACACAGCCCATCTTTAATAAAAATGAACATCTGTAAAAATGTGTGAATATACAACTTTCTATAATTTCATAAAATGAAGTTGTATAGGTCATCAGAATACAAAGTTCATAGATAGAGATTTTATGTTTAATTTGACTATGTAAACAACCCCCGCCCCCAAGAAGAAAAAAATTGTATTACTAGTTTGCTTGCTTGTTTGCTTGCTTCTTTGTTTTGCTTCTTTGTTTTCTTCTAAAAGAAGATACTATTTTCTATCTCGGTAGCCTTGGCTATAGCTGGGTTACTATTAGAGCACCTAGAGCATCTTATATGATGAGTATGAATGCTGAAAGCATCATAGTAGCAGTTTTGAATAATACCATATCAGTCTGACCTGGGGTTCATTTTTTAGGTTTTCAGCTGTTTATTACCCTTTCAGAGTTCTTTTTTTTTGTGTGTCAGTAAATGAAAAGTACAAAGACAATGTTGAGAAAGTCGCAGGCATCACAATAATTTAATTTTGCATCAGTCTATCCATTCTAGTAGAATAAATGAGATCATTATATGTTATATCAATCCCGCATTTAGAGTAGATTTCATAAATGTATCTTCCTTCATTAAGTTCATTTCCTTTCCAACATTAAAGCGATTAATTTGCCTAATTCACAACTTTCAAATTTTGACAAACACTGCTTTCATTTATAAGGAGTTTCAATCCAATCTAAAATCAGTATCGATGGAAGATCAATCATTACAGTGAATTAAACCTGAAAAATAAAAATAAAAATAAAAATGCAACAAAAGTATGAAGAAATCTCTCTTTCTCTCGTTTAAATAAGCACTTGGAATCTCCTGGAAACTGTATCATTCATTAGTTTTAGATTTAGTGTGCGGTGATGTTATTTTATACAAAAATCTCTCTCTCTCTCTCTCTCTGTTTATCCTGAAAAATAATATCAAATGTATTAGAATAGTAAAACAATTCAAGACCTTTCTTACAAAAATTTAAGTAGAGGTAATTCTGTTATTTCCATTCAGTGCATTTTGCAGCTTCTACTCCATTTGCAAACCTTCGCTATTGGCAAACCAGAACGATAAGTACAAGAAATGAATGTTAAATGTATGTCCAGCATACCCTTATAAAAGTATCAATAAATGAAGAATAAAGTCTCCTAAAATGCAAGCGGTACAAAAGATCTACACTGCAGCATACACTCTAGACCTGAACGGCAAATAACAATATAAAATGAAACTAAAAGCACCAGAAATATACACATTTTTCCCAAAACGGAAATCATTTTAAAAACAAAAATATATATGACTATAAAATGGAACTAGAATGGAAATTAAATATCAAACCTTGTCTGGTAGTCATGTACAAGCATATTGTCTGTCTTGTCTAAATAAGCAAACATTATGAATTTGAGGGAATGCTGTGGGCAAAATGCTGTCATTATATATGTCAACAGGAATTTTATGCAAATATTCAAAAGATAAATAGACATCTTCTTTCTGCATTTCTCACAAGTTCCCCCTTGCCTCTTTAATAGGCTAGATCTGAACGGATGGAGCACACAAACATAGTAGTGATTCAATTCCAATTCATTCCCATTTAGAAGCTACGAAGATCAATTTCAACATTAAATATACACATCAATATTTCATCACTTCTTGATATTAAATATGGAAGGTCTGATAATTTTTTAAAGGCCTCTTCACTTAAATACGAGATGTTTCATTCAGCTGTCTAAGATACATTGCTGTATTCACTATAATAAAATTGAATTCATATTGGCATTTCATCACATTAGCATAGTTTAAATCATACACACACTATTTCGCTGGATGTATAGTTCAAAGTTTTATGTTATATCATTGAGAGATCAGCTCCTTCAGAAATTTTCTAGTCAACCCACTGAATACATAGCCATAAAAAACTGGGCCTGGGCACTATTAATTCAAAATGCACGTTATGCCAAAAATCAACATTCATTCAACAGAATAAGGTGAGCGTGGACAGCTTCTAACCTTGCATACGAGCTTCCTGCATTTCAAGGCATCCAAGAATCTTCACTTTTGATGTTGATGAAGATTATCTCAATGTGGTAGCCTCGAAAAACATGTCTAACACGGATATGATCAAAGAGTTTTGTGCTATAAATAGCTTGAGATGGCTATCAAGAAAGCGTTATACATTGGCATAGTCCGTTGCTGTGATATCCCCCGTAACAGAGATGCCTCCGGATGGCTTGGCTCCTCCTGATGCCTTAGCACCTGATGAAGCAAAGGAAAGATTATCGTACCCATCAAGCTCCTCCATTGAGTTGGCGCGAAACGGGTTTGGATGCCGCTTTCCCGCCTGCGCGTAATTTGACAGGTCAGTCCTGTTTGGGGCGTCACCATTCATGGTCGCGCCCGCGGAGTACCCAACCGCGCCTTCCGCACTGCCATCGTCCACAGCTGGGCCCGTTGCGCCCCCAACTGCTCCATCTGTTGCATTGGCCACGCCCGCTCCTGTTGCCTTGCTGACAGATCCTACAGGATACTTGAGGTATCTCTGATCATCAATGTCCCGCCCTCGCTCACGGTTGTTCTCTAGATCATGGAGCGCCGCCTCAAGGCGTGGCGTCGGATCTGCCGCGGACGCTCCACCGGGTAACCGCCCTCTAAGGCTGCCTTTCTTGCTGCCTTTCCTTTTCTCCTTCTTCTGTTCCTCTTTAAAGGATGCACTGGCGAGATCCTTCTCGGCGAGGTCGTAGTCAATGTCGGGCGGGAGCTCGATGTTGGGTTTGTCCTTGATGATGTCTCCCTTGCTATCAATCGGTAGCAGGTAGTCTTCCATCTCTGGAGGGATATCCTTGAGACGAGAGTAATCCACTTTGCCATCTCCTGCAGACAAAATTAAATATCATTACAGATTTCTATTTCCAACCAGCTCAAACACGTAATGTCACTGAAACAGCTCTTTGTCATTCCCAAACTTTCAATTTGAATAAAAATTAAACAAATATTATTATAGAGGAATCCTCGATTTTTCCAAATCACCAGATGTTACTCTCCATATTCTATGAAAGCATATGAAACATAATATCGAAGAGGATAGCACTATATATATGCTATGAACAATCTCATGTTATGTTAATATGCTATGTAGTTTAAAATTCATTGGTGCCCTGAATTCTATGTACTGAGCATTTATTTGTATCCATTTGTATGATAATCTTGAAGGACTGATATCTCATATACACTGCGTATCCAAGAATATGTACAATTCATGAAATAACAATGTGTCAATATTAAATAGCAACATGTTTTATTGTAATTACCTCTTACATCAAAACCTCATTTGTCACAATTTAAAACTGAAGGCAGTGTAGGTGCAACATCCCTACAAATTATTTCAATATACCAGTAACACAAAATATCCTCACCTTCAAATGCAAAGTTATCAGCTCCATTTGGTCCAACTGATTTCCTCCTGTAATCTTGGATCATCTCCTTCAGCATCTTGAAAGATGGCCGATCTTCAGTTGATCGCTCCCAGCATCGTCTCATCATCATGTAACTATAGCAACCAAAGATAACATTCAAATTAGTCAATTTATTCATATTCATGTAAATCCTCCTGAGTGCCTGATGCTCTAAAATAAAATATACATGAAATGGGAAGGTTGTATACTACTACAAAGTATACTTCTAGAGAAACTGTCTTTATATCACTAAACAAGATTCTCCATTTATTATCTCTGTCCAATGAGAACAGAAGTACATGTGCATGGTTGGTGAAGTTTTATACAACAGGGTCCTGTCTTTTATAGAGACAAGATTGATTAAAATCAATAGCAACTTGAAACGAATCGCAACTTCGTATCTCGTACCGGAGTGTTGGCTCAGTCAGTAGAGCGTCCGCCTCACAACCGGTAGGTCGTGGGTTCGGCCCTCGGCCGCGTCATACCAAAAGACGTTAAAAGATGGGAGTTGTTGCTACCTTGTTTGGCGTTCAACAATAAGGGATAGAGCAACGTCGATCTGGCGCTGCTCAGTGGCTGCCGGGCTCACGATCAATTGGGCAAAAAGAATTTCCGTTTCGGTTTAATAAAATTTGGAGTGGACTATTATTATTATTATTATTTCTTAAGTACACAGTTTGGGTCAATTTCAGGTTGTGATTTATTTGAATCTATCGCAATTCTTTATAACACAGGGCCAAGATAATAGTTTTCCTGTCACAAGCGTTGCAAGAAAGACTTAAAATAGAATACATCTATACATAAAACTCTACAGCCTAGTGGTGATACCCCATTTGAACATTGCAGAGTATTCATCATATGTGCCACCAAATTAACAAATATGTATCAAAGATTAAATCTCAAAAACAAGGTTTCAATCATGGCATCTGTTTTCAATGCTCAATTTGATGCAACACATTGTTCTGTGATACCATAAATTTGTAACTCATGAATTTGTTTTGAAATGTATTGGAATGAAAACTATAATTCACCATGAAAGGCAAGCTCTTCTTTCTCTGTTAAGATACTATTCAACATCAAATTGTCAGTGGTTCAATCTGCCTACAGCAGGGAAGGAGTTACCGGTGTCATGTACTTACATTTCATCAGGGCATTGATCCGGTTGACTCAGCCTTCCACCAGCCTCTACAAACCTTAGGACCTCTACGTTTGACCTGGCAGGATATGGTTGCTGACCTCTTGACATGACCTCCCACATCAAGATACCAAATGCCCTGCAGAACAACAACAAGGTATATAAACATTAGCAAGTTACATGTACATACATGTACTAATGTCCTTTGGCAAGACATTGATCTACATTTGCCACTCTCCACCCAGGTGTTAAATGGGTACCCGGTAGGATGCGAAAGCTAATGTGGTTAGATTAGCAAGTGTGCGCTTGTAAAAATGACGCCTGGCTGGAATGCTCCCCAGGGAGTGGAAAATGTGCATACATTGTGTGCGGGTAAGCCTGAATCCAATATGACCGGGGTAATAATATACTTATCTGTAAAGCGCTTTGAGAGGGCCTCCGGTCCTGAAAAGCGCTATATACATTAAGAACAAGCTATTATTATTATTATTATTATATAAATATGGAGAGCCAGAAGGGCATTGACCTCTATTTACTGTTGAGGAAGAATTAATCACTTCTGGTTCTTATCAGAAGACTCTTCAGAAATTGAAATTCAGTTACCAGATTCATTTTAAGACTCAAAACAACCCCACATCAACTGTGTCTGTTAAAACTCTTATAATGTTGCCCTGATTTCAAGATGAAGAAACTAATGAACCCTGTATGATGTGTTGTATACATATATAGAGTGGTGAAGTGTGACGTTATCAAAAGTGTATTTTTGGAATTTCAGAATTTTTTCTTCATTTTCCGAAAGAGCATAAAAAATAATATCCAAATGGCGAAAACCAATTTAATATGTTAAGTATTGGCTGAGATATGACCATCTGAATAAATAGATTTCCTATAGGAACACATAAAATTACGAAGTGAAGATGATGCACACATTACCTGGACCAGGGCACAAATACATCCAATGACCTTTATCATAGTTTTTAGTTAACAAATAGCACTTTTGCTACATAAAGCCCCAGTTATTACCATCATCATGATTTCAACTCTTTCAAAATAAAACAGATAAGACAATGTCATTCACTTACCAGACGTCAGACTGGACACTGAAGTAGCCGTCCATCAGGCCCTCTGGAGCCATCCAGCGGACAGGGAGGAGGCCCTCGCCCTCTTTGCGGTAGTAGTCATTCTTGTAGATGTCTCTGGCCAGGCCAAAGTCACCTATCTTGACCACTCGCTCGTGAGCTTCGTAAGACTTGGTGGACACGAGACAGTTCCTTGCTGCAAGATCCCTACAATAAAATCAAAACAAATTGTGTGCATGAATGTCAAGATCTTTACAATGTACAGCAAATTTTAATGATCCCTTGAAATAAATATATAAATACACTCCACGGTGACATTTGATTGCCAGTCGAATGCTCCACAGTCAATCCTACACTGGTCAAATTCATAACTTCAACCCTGGACCAAATACCATACATAACTCTTAGAGACTTTGGTGGAAAGAGCTTTATAAGATGAAGATGATGATGATGATGATGATGATAGTGATGATGATGATGATGATGATGATGATGATGATGATGATGATGATAATGATAATGATGATGATAATGATGATAGTGATGATGATAGTGATGATGATAGTGATGATGATGATGATGATGATGATGATGATTTATCATCATTACCCTTAAATCCTAACCCAGAACTTAAACTTACACCCAGGAGCAACATAACTCTAAACCATTTATCTCTGACAAAATAAAGTTTTGAGCAAAGGTCACTATAGAAAGTGTTGGGTCACCCTAGAAATAGCACAACCCCAAGTTTCAACACAAATTTGAAAGCCAATGTGAATTCTCATTGAAACATGTCAATGATAGTCTCCCATGAAATTGTCTTTTGTGCTCATTTATACAATAGGACACAAGTCAAATTGACTTTTTTCTCTGTCATTCCTTAATTCTTAAAATATTCAAAACAAGACATAAATGTACCAGGAGATAACGTAAGTTTACAAAGATGAAAACACATGAGAAGTAGTGCTCACCTATGCACAAAATGCAATTCTTCCAAATGCTCGCATCCTTTGACCGTATCCAGAATGATCTCAATTTGGTCCATGAGTGTAATCTTGCTATTGGTAGGAGCTGGCATCCTCGCTGCTCTGATGTAACAGAGAAGATCTCCGCCTTCCATCAGCTCTTGGATGATGTATTGTGGGTCATTGTCGAGGCACACACCCATCAGTAATACAATGTTGGGATGCTTGAATTTTCTGATAAAAATGGGGGAAAAAAGATGTTATAAATAATAACAATAATACATAAGATTTGTAAGGCGCCAAATCCACTCGACAATCAAATGCTCAAGGCGCAGCTTGTGCAAAATATGAAATACATGATAAATATATACAAAAGTGCAATAGGAAAGGTACGGACATGAAAGGTACCGGTAATGGTAATCGATTATAGGCTAAATCAAACAGATATTTCTTAAGAATATTTGTTAACACTTCACCAGAACTGCTACATGTATTTTTAATCAATGGAAAAACAAATCTCAATACAAGATAAATAAAAAGATAACAAAAATTTTGACTACGATTTTATTTTTACTTTTTAATACCAGATAAATATACTTTATCTTGAATTTCATATTTCATGGGTTGAGGAGTTTTGTCAAAAAAGGAAAAGATAATTATAACTGAAATGGTGGATGAGGGGGGTTACAGTTCTTGACATATGTGTGACTGCCGTTACTTTTATTTGTACCATTACCAGTCACAGTAATGGCTAATCTTGAAGATCATAAAAGACGATGTTGATGGCAAGATTTTGCATGAAAAAGAACAATGATTAACATTGTTTTGTACTTTTTCCTATCCATCACATACATGTACAGTATTTCCACATACTAGATGTGTACATTTTCAAGCCGTTTCAAAAAGGACTCTGATTTTCAGACAAGTATGCCAATAACCTTAAAATCAACCTTTTTATTTCTTAGTTACTATGCTTTACTTGTGACTCCTCTTATCATACCTAAGTTCAATCAGTGCAATATCAATCTAATTCCCATATCTGGAAATTATCTTGCTCAAAAATGGGTTATCACACAGCTACCGTCATTGAGTACACATTATGTCACGTCTCATTGTACTCCAAGCATATGAAGACATGACCTTAAGATAATGGGTCCTCTCGAGACTATCAAGTCCTTTGACAAACCGTTATGTCAACATTATGTCAGAGGGACCCGTTTGGTTCTGGTTGAAATCAGGAAAACAGGCGCTGCCATGATATTTATTCACTTTAAATTATCTGTTATATAAGTTCCAGGGAAAGAGTTAAAATATATAGAAACAAGGGAAGTATGAAATGCCTGCAACTAGTGCCCGAGGAAAGCCCAAAGTATCTTGTTCCTGTCATAGAGCCTTTCCTCAATAGTCAGTCGTTTACAAATGTATACATGTACAGTTATCATTGTTCCTCAGCAGAGAGGCACATACAGAAGCAAGAAATGTATACAGATATTTAAAGACTACCTGCACTATTTTGGCCAGGAGGGATTAGACCTCCCTGCGTGGTCACTAGCACATGGTTATCTCATCAAATCAGCTCTCAATTAACATAAGAAAAAGAGAACCATGGGGATCAATGGGTACCGCTTAGGCATTGTTGGCTATATAGAGGGCGCAAGTATAGCTACAAGTAGTTTAGTCCCGCATTTAGACAAAATCATAAAAAGCGGTTTATTTTGGGTCCTAACAAAGACATCTTGCACGCCCAAAGAAAGATAAAGCAGAGCTCCACACTATTGTTTTCGAAAGGGGTCCAAATTGAACTACGTACCCTGAACTTAGAGTCTGTATGCACAAGTGCTTTGTTAAAAATTCCAAATTTTGGGAGGTCCAGTCTTAGATTTGGGGCACCCATGTTTCCCAGGTATACAGTATGTTAGCTCTGTATAAAGGAAGGCTATATAACACACTTACCCCATAACAGTGGCTTCCTTCAAGAATTCCTGTTTATCTTCATCAGTAGCTCCCTTTCGTAAAGTCTATAAGAGGACAAGAAATATTTTTTAACAATAAAATAAGATAATAATATGTTTATACAGTGAAACCTGTCTGCTAAGACCATCCAAGGGAAACAGGAAAAGTGGCCGCTGTAGACAGGTGGCCTTTGCACACTGATCCTACAATACACATTTCTTCGTAGAAGGATGGAATATACATGCAGGTGGCTAAAAACCCTTTGATAAAGACGTAATGTACGTTAACAATTTGTAATGTTAACATTTAAATATAAACATATTAAGCAGGGTGTTTTTGGCGGTTTAATGCATCCAATCAGAATAAGCCTTTAGAGTGAGAAAGAGTGCTATGTCTTGATATGTCCGGACTTAATTCAACACATTTATTCTGAAAGGAAGATAATATTCATTTAGGTTAGAATTCATGCTTTTCTCTTCATACTGAACATATCCCTCAGAACAGAAGAATAAGAAAATATGCAATATATAAAATCTACTCATTTATTGCTTCCCAATAAACTAGACTGCAAATATCAAAGTGACTGTCACCCAATATGACCCAATACACTTTGGAGGTTGCTACTGAATTATTGACACCACTCGACCTTCGCACCCTGTTACGAGGGAAGAATATATTTGACTTTCTACGTACGTACCACACAGGTATTTATTTCTCGTTTTAAACCCATTTCACAATCTCGAAGAAAAGCAATGTCTATATTTGCTTTTCATAAATTCAGATTTAATATGATATGATATGGATTGATATTACAGCCATGAAAACTAATTCTGAGAAACATGTGTAACATGAATCACGATTAGAAAGAGCCAACCGTTAGTCATTGATGACATTTTTCTTGCCTTCTGTTTCGAAAGTATGAAAAAACTTTTGTACTGGGAATTATAGGAAAAATTGAGCTGTATTCAATTCATTTTTTTTTGTCTTAAAAATGCCTTTTGTTGTATAGTTGCTAGACATACTTCCTTGATAATCATAATTGTCATAAAAAAAAAGAAATATGAAGGTTGAAAAGGATATAAATACGCCCCAGGTCATTATATACCATGGACAATATAGGGTTATCATGTTACATCGTATAACGTGGAAAGAGATATGGTACAAAATGAAATCCTGTTTATGTACTGGGTTTTAGAAAGGTCAAATATATCCTCAATGTCAGTTGAGTACACTGTAGTTATACAAGCATCCAGTTTCTTTGTTACCTACATGTGGGTCTACAGGTCTACTTGCAATATCTACATTCTTTCTCTGCCATGACTTTGGCAATGACAACAACAAAAAGAGATTACTTTAATTGATGAATCGGCAAACTATTTGTTTTGTGGCATAACCGTCAACCTTCTATCTGTGTATGACACACTGTTGAAGATATTGAGATAATTTAACAATACGATAACGATATTAGTCTTAAACAAATCATTGAATTGTACTTCATATTGAAGATACTGATATTACTTAACAATATAATATCGGTTCTGAACAAATCATTGAAATGTACTTCAAATTTTATAATCACTGTCGAGGGTTCAAACTGATACCAATTAAATGACAAAGCCCTTGAGTACTGATATAACCAGTAGCCTTTATACACAGCAAACTCCTAGGTCAGGGGTTCTCAAACTTTTTTCTTGGCGGTCCAGATGTGATTTCCATGGAAGCTAAAAAGGTCCTAATCAATGGGCAAATTTAGTTTACTTGATCAATTATTTCCATTGATATAAGTTTACATACATGTCTTTACAAGAAAGAGAGTCAAAAGTGGAAGTTCTGGTGAACATGTAGAGTATATCAGTGAGAAAAATAGCACTGTTTTCCGGCAATAAGCTGCTTAAACATTGACACAAGTGGAGTGATTGCAAGACGAAGGCAATGATGCAAATGTTCAGACAATTGACTCCTAAAATTTACAGAAACGGCACTTGTGTACTGAAGAAAATGAGGCTGGTTTTTTTAGGCCCATATCTGATCTCAGCGACAAAGGGAAGGGTTGCCCCCTTCTAATTTTGGGCATGGCATGACAAAAAATGGGGGGTATTTCACAATCCAATCAATTACTCTGAATCTCTATGACATCCAATTTCTACCCCTGTAGACTAAAGTCACTGACAAGACACCAAAGCCTCCCCCCCCCCCCCCTCCCAAGAAGATGCCTTGAATGAGACTTACCTTCACCGCAACTCTAGCTTCGCCAGTCCCGTCTCCAAGGATATCAAGGGCAGATCCCTCAAACACCTCACCGAACGCACCACTCCCAAGGAAGGTGATCAACTTGAGTCTCTCTCTCTGGAATATAGGAAGAAGAACTTCCTTGCCATCATGTCTGTGTAAATAAAAAGAAAATAAAGGAAATAGTAATTTTTTTCACTTTGATGTAATGTGAATGTAAAATATAGCCTGAGAATATGAAGAGTGAGAGAGAGAGAGAGATACATATATATATATATATATATATATATATATAACCCTACATGGTACATTAAGTGGACATCATAAAAATCCTAACCCTAACCCTAACCCTAACCCTAACCCTAACCCTAAAGTCTACTTAATGACTCATTTTTTCACTCCCAATGTCCTTCCAATGACGCCTTTAGTAAAATTACATATATAGAGAGAGATATATAACAAAATTGGGCCTTCCACAACAAATAAAACGTAAAAAATGTTAAGAGGACACCAAATTGTCCTCCTAATCACAATGTCTACTTAATGACTCATTTTTCACTCCAAATGTCCCTCTAATGACGCCTTTAGTAAAATATATATACACCTGTATATATATATATATATATATATATATATATATTCAATGAAGAAGATAGAGAGATGGGAAAAAGAACAAAAAGAAATCCAATAAGACAAAGACAAAGGGCCATCTTTTATTGATCTCAAGGTGACCTATACAAATTCAGTATGTATTCAGTAGATGTATGTATCTCTCATAAGGAGCAATAAGTTCATGGGTACTTGTGGGGAAAAAAGTCCTTCACCTCATAAGCTTCTTGTCAAATTAAAAAGCTCACCATGAGCTGGAGAATTATCATATTCATCATCTCATAACTGCCATGCTCAGACATATGCTCCAGGGACAATTTCTCTGAGCTTTATATTGTCGAAAATATAGGGTTAGGGTTATGATTGTAATAGGGAATTTGGGTTAGGTTTAGGTTCAGGGCAAGTTATATCGTTTGGTCCAGAGGTGAGGTTAGGAATCTAGTGGAGTGTTTCACAAAGACTAAGCTCATGCCACTGTTTGCTCTCACCATTATGATCTTTAGATAATATTTTTTACTTAAATAATGAATTATCAAAAAATGTCAATTCTGTAGATTTGTGACCATGATTTGTACGTCCCTTGAGAGACCAATGCCAGTAAATGGTGAGAGCAAAAAGTGGCATGAACAGCCTGCCATAATTAGGTCTTAACACCCCCCCCCCCTCCAGTTAGTCATGATATAGAATGCAGCGATATTGGAGCATGTGCCATACAACCTTTCCTTACATGAAAAGCACTTTCAAACAACAATTTTTAAACTGGGAGAGACATATCGTCGGTGGGGTGACAAAACCTCATATCTCAATTTTTTTAGATTTTGATTTGTTTGCATAATATTGTACCTAATGGCCTACGACACCACCTGATAAATCCATGGAACGCCTCATGTCTCAGTTTTTTCACAAATTCCAAACAAAGGACGGTGTCACAGCACTAAATCTGTTGAGACAGGAAAGGTTTTTTGCGCTCTCCTGAAAATTCATGATTTTTGAGATACAAGGTTTTGTCACCCCACCGACGATATACATGTATACAGACACACACACAGAAATGTGTACACCAATAAGTTTTTTGACAAACAAGAAAAGGGTTCAAGTCAGGCAAATACGCAATCATTGAGTGACCTTCTACTTACATTTCAGTTCTTTTTTTCTCTCTCTCTCTCTCTCTCTCTCTCTCAGCCACCCTTTATCAAACAATATGTTCACTCATGAAAGATATGTTTGTTCTTCAGCTATTTGTTCATTCACAGAAAGTCGCTTTGTGATTGCTGCTCATAAACTCTTTGACATTGTTGACTGTGCGACGTTGTATTTGCGAAGACAGAACAAATTCCAGAGCATTCATTTTTACTATATTACAATCGGTTTAACAACAGATGTGATAAAGTACATCCACACCTTCATTTTGTCTGTTCATCATATTACTCTAGCAATATGACCTACTATATACAACTGTATGTTGCTGGTACATGGTGCATTTATAGATCTTGATACTTTACCCCAATACAGAGTTAATCTATATAAATATGCACAAGATACTGGATAATGCAGGTAGGTTGATATGAATTAGAACTAAACAGACCCTCCCCCCCCCCCCCCCCCCCCCCCCCCCCCAATTTGAAAAGATGAGTTTGAGGGATATGGGGTGATAGTCTTGCTGGTTCCAGACCCAAATCAAATCAAACAATTTTTTAATATCACAAGGAATGGAAAACCAAGTCAGCCAAGAATCTATGGCTATGCTACTGATAAGCCTGTGTTTTATCTCGGAACATTACAGAGTAGCCGCATGTTCACAAAAGTGTATCGACTTGTGTAGCTTTTGATTCATATTTACTTAATTACATGTGTATTCATCACAAACTAATGAACCCCTTGTACACACAAGTAATGATAAGAATTAAAGGATAAGATGATATTCACATGTGTAGTCATGTGCTATCAGCTGCTCATTCTACATTACTTATCCAAGGTGACTGGTTCTTTCTGGTTCATTCTGGCTCATGACACTAAAGTCTTGTATAGGCATATACAGTTAACAACTAAATTATTCATATCCTTATTAAGTTATGTAATTTGCTAAGTATTCATACAAGAGGATATGATATATAAAGTTCATGTGAAGAAACATCGTACCTAAACTAAATAAGCAAAAGGGGGATATGTACAATGTAGGAATGTCATAATTTTGGGAGGTCTTTCCTTCAACAGCATGAGATATGTGACTGCTAATATAGGCATTGCTCATTCAAATGATATAAAGGCTTCTCTCTCTCTCTCTCTCTCTCTCTCTCTCTCTCTCTCCCTAAATCTCTCAATGAATTTCACCATTGAAGCATACCGGTATGCAAGTATCAATATAGCCTTGAATATTACAGTGTACATGTACATACAGTACCTGTACACTTACTTGATTCCATGAGCCTTGAGCACATAAGTCGAGGTGGTAAATTATAAATACATTATATTATTATTATCATTATCATTGAAAAGAAAACTGATGATTATCATATTAGACTTACGTGACAGCATAGTTAGAGTTTCCCTGACGTATTGCCATGTTGGGATAATTCCTGAACTGAGTCAGCTCGTATCATTATGAGCTGATATTATCATTATCATTGAAAAGAAAATGAGGATTATCATATTAGACTTACGTGACAGCATAGTTAGAGTTTTCCTGACGTATCGCCATGTTGGGATAATTTCTGAGCTGAGCGAGCTCCACGTCTTCCTGGAACTGCGGCCACTTGCCCCCATCACTCTTCCGATGACGGCAAACTGATGAGAACAGAATTTAGAGAAATTATACATTGTAGCTCAACATTACCAATATCTAATTTCATATTTCATTATTAAAAATATACTGGGATTCATAATCATAAACAATAACTACCAGCCAACCTTCCACAGAAAATGAAACATACCTTCCACTAAAAAAATATATATACAGATGTATATATTAGTAAGTAAGTAAAGTTTTATTTAACCATAAAATGAAACATGTACATACAAATGAGTAACATAGTAAACATAATACGGTAAAGGACACCCTTAGAAGCAAATTGCTTGTGGTGGGGCCTTAACAAGAAAAAACAAACTACACATAAATTATACAGTTTAAAAAACTTTAAAATAACATGATACAAACACACAAGCACGCTCACACATATACATACACACATACATTCAAAATATCCTCCTCTGCTCAAACTTGTTTACATAAATCATTAAATAATAACTGTGTACATCGTACTTTAAATCGAGATAGAGTTGTACTTTCCTTAATATCATTACTCAAATTATTCCATTCCTTAATGCCATTTAAATAGAAAGAATTTTGTGCATTTGTCGTACGAACTTTAAATAAATGTAAATGATTTTTCTGACGAGTAGAATACGAGTGAATATCACTATTAATAACAAAGTTTATATTAGGAATTTCTGGCAATAGGCGATTTTGAAATTTAAACATAAATATGCGAATATTAAATTGAATCAATTCAAAAATTGAGACTACGTGTGTTTTAACAAGAAGTGGCCGTGATGGGGCTAAATAATCAGATTTAGTAATAATACGCACGGCTCGTTTCTGTAACAAATAAATCTTATCTATATATGATGCATAAGTATTTCCCCAAATAATATTACAATAATTTACATGTGGAAAAATCATACTATTATACAACATAAGCAAAATATTTGATGGTAAAACATGCTTTAGCTTTGACAAAACTCCAATACTTCGAGATAATTTCAACGAAATGCAATCAATATGAGGTTTCCAATTAAGTAATTCATCAATTATAATACCAAGAAACTGAACACATTCTTTCCTTTTTATAATATTTACATCAATTTGTATAGGCAATAAATCACTAGGGATCTTCCGATTTCGAGAATGAAATATTACATAATTTGTTTTATCATAATTGAGAAATAATTTATTACATTTGAACCAATTATCCAATTTTATCAATTCATTATTCATAATATCAACTGAAGTATATACACTACTATGTGATGTAATAACGGAAGTATCATCTGCAAAGAGTGTAAAATTTAATACATTTGAAGATTGTTTAATATCATTTATATAAATTAAAAACAAAAGGGGCCCTAGAACAGATCCTTGAGGAACACCACATATTACATCCCTTTTAGTCGAACAGACACCGTCAACCACCACATACTGCTTTCTATCACTCAAATAGTTTTCAATTGATTTCAATGGAAGGCCGCGAATACCATAATAATTTAATTTTTTGAGCAGTATGTGGTGGTCAATGGTGTCGAACGCTTTTGACAAATCCATAAACACACCCAATGAATAATTACCCTCATCCATATTCTTAATTACATAATCTGTTAAATGAAGTGCTCCCAAACATGTAGAATAAGTCTTCCTAAATCCAAATTGCTCATTTATCAATAAATTGTTTTTAACCAAAAAATCATAAATTCTTTTTTGCAGGATTTTTTCAAATAATTTTGAAAAAATTGATAAAAGAGCAATTGGTCTATAATTTTGTATATTTTCTTTTTCATTTTTCTTATAAATGGGTATAATTTTAGCTAATTTCAAACTGTCGGGGAATACTCCAGAAGAAATTGATTTATTAAATATATTACATAATGGATCAACAATAAAGTGTATACATTCTTTTACTACTCTGGGAGAAATACCATCTGGGCCACTTGCTTTATATGGTTTCAATGTTTTACTAAGTTCAATTATTTCAAATACTGTAGTAGGTTTTAAAAACAATGTAAAATCATTATGAGTTTTTAAATAATCATTAAATGAAGTATCTACAACAGGAATGCCACGAGCTAGATTACTCCCTACATTAACAAAGTATGAATTGAAACATTCAACAATCTCTTTTCTATTATTGTAACTAATATTTTCAAAATACATATTACATGGCAAATCATTCTTCTTGCTCTTTCCTAGTAATACATTAACTTGTGACCATGTTTTCTTGCAATCATGTTTATACTTAGCAAACATTTTATAATAGTACTGTTTCTTAGCTGTTCGTAATAAAGAAGTTAATTTATTTTTATATATAGTATACTTAGTTCTATTATTATCATTACGTTGTTTCAAGAACTGTTGATGTAATTTTTGTTTCTTTCGTACTGATATTAAAAGTCCTTTACTCATCCATAGTTGCTTGAATTTGCACTTCTTGTTCTTTTCAAAAATGGGTAACAATGGAAAACAATCATTGTACAATAATGATAATTTACATATAAATTCATTATAACAATAATTCACATTATCAACATTATACATATTTGACCAATCTATTTTTTTCAACTCATTCTTCAATCGAGATATCCCGTCTTTTGTAATTTTTCTTTTCTTCATACTAGCAAATTCAGAACGATGTCTATACTGATTATCTTTATTATTTTTACAAACATTAATACAATACACTGGAAAATGGTCAGAGAAGTCGGAGTATAACAAACCTGAATGTACATTATCATTTAAAGTATTTGTAAAAATGTTATCAATAAGTGTTGCAGTTTTTGTAGATACTCGAGTAGGTTTCGAAATTAGTGGAAGCATATAAAATGAAAGCATTTTTTCTAAAAAATCATTTGTTTTATCATGAGAAGCACAATTTAATAAATCAATATTAAAGTCGCCCATAATATATATTTCTTTTCGTTCACTATCCAATAATTCTAAAACAGAGTTCATCTTTTCTATAAAACATGGTATATCAGAGCTTGGTGGGCGATAAATACAAGTAATTACAATAGGTTTTTTTAAAGGTTCATTTGTTTCAATTGATACAATTTCATAATCAGGTGTAATGCATGTCAAATCATTGCGAATTTTATACTGGATATTGTGCTTAACATAAATTGCAACGCCCCCACCGTTTTTATTGTCTCTACATTGTTGTATCAAGGAATACCCCTGCATAGAATATATATCAAGATCAAGATTTGGGTGGAACCATGTCTCAGAAACAGCAATAATATCAAAATCAAATTTCACTGAACTGAGTAGTAACTGAAAATCATCAAAATTCTTTTTTAAACTTCTTGCATTTATATGTATTAAAGACAAAGATGGTGTACATAAGCTATATTTCTTTCCAAAATCTTCACAAAACATATAATCACATTTGAGTTGAGTTACATCATAATCATTATCCAAAAATGGTGTTTCACTGAATTTGAGTTCTTTATTCATAACAAATGGATTTATTTTCAAATTTTGGAGTCTTTCAATATTAATATTTTGATTCAATTGAAAGAAACTGAATACATTCCAATAAAAATCATTGTCACTAAGAAAATGATTAAAAGGTAATATACTTGAAATACATTGCGTACAGATGAATGATTGAGCAGAGGATAAAAAATCAGCACAGTTCACACACTTCATACACACTCACCCAGATAAGTCAAACAAGTTACAATAAAAAAAAATCACAAAATCACAAATTAAATCCCCTATTAGGGAATACTGAGTTCTATAATAAAAGTTCAAAGTAAAAATGTCTATTGAGAGGGTCGGGAACCTCCCAGGGAAATATTATAGTTCTGTCGTCTTACTTTCTCTTTCTCTCTCTAGCTGTCTATCAGTCTATGTGAGTTTTTCTTCACGTTCTATTCGTGTTAATGTGGTTACCTTAATTTTCTTGCCTCTTCTATGGTACCGATAACTTTCCTGACCGATTTGCCGTTTGTCGCAGGGAGTGCTACCAGGATGCGGCCATCTGACGACCAAGCTGCGGATACTCTTGGTGACGATCTTGCCACCTTGAGTATTTCGTAGTTATGGGAGGTCAGGTCCTCCGCTATAGTAATCCCGGAGTTTTTGAGCCGGCGTCTAACCGCCATCAGTGTCTGCTTCGCGCGGTAGGTAGCAAATTTGACGATGATCGGTCGGTGGTGAACCTGTTCCGACCTCCGCGTCGCCCTATCCGCCACAGCGGCCCACGATGTCGGTGTCGATGCGGCTGTGTTCTCCGGTCCACCCGGAGTCGAGGTCGGTGTCGCTGGTAGTCTCTGCTGGTGAACTGAGGCTCCTATGCCCTGAGTGTGTGGTCTCCAGATCGCCCCGATCCGGTGGCTTCGGTCGAGGTCCTTTAGTTGTAGCTCCACTCCTAGCTTCTCCTTGGCAATGTTCATGATGACGTTGTCGGTCTGTTCTCCTGTGCTTTCGGGGACTCCAAAAACTCGTATACAATTTCTCCTCGAGTACTGCTCGGCGTCGTTGCACTTGTTTTGTAGTCTGTTAGTTGAGTCTTCCTGTGTTTTGAGTCGTTTTTCAAGATCGTTTATTTGTTGGCTTTTACGTTCAGTCTCGATCTGAAGTGAGACAATATTTGACTCGTTTGACTCTACTTGCTTCGAGAGTTTGGCGAATTCTTGTTTTAGTTCTTGCATTTCCTCTCGTATTGTTTTCTTAATCGTTTTTTTGATCATGTCAAAGAAGTCTTTATTGTTGAGAAGTTCAGGGATCGGAATTTGCGTGATTTCGCTTGACTGTGAGTTTCGCGTTGCTCTCCCTGCCATAACTCGGGCTGATTTCCTTTCATTAGATCCACTGTTTAGACCCTCCATTGTGTGGAGGGGTACGGCGATACAAAGGAGGGGGGTAAACTGTATTGTTGTTCAAAAAATAGTTCGAAAGCTTTGAGTGGACTAGTGATCACGTCGCGATAGTGTCACTGAGATATATTTCGGCCGACTCTGGCCCGGTGTTGTGAACTGCGATGCCGTTTGAAGTTATATGTTTAGATATGAGAAACTGGCTCAATACTTTCAAGGCATATTTTGCCCTACAAAATGTCAGGAAACTCACTTATATGTCCTGGGAGGTCCTCATGGTATATGTAGACACAATCAATAAATCACATGTAGATGTAGATTGACGAAAAGGAAGAAATATCCGTGATATATATATATATATATATATATTTTTTTTTTTTTTTTTTTTTTTTTTATAAAAATCTCCCCACTCAAAATAACAAATACTGTGTCTTTTATGTTTCAACACTGAATTTTTCATAAAGAAAGTTATTTCAGGTTGATAACTTTAGTTTGAATGTCAGAGGACATCACTAATACAAATAAATGGCTAGCAGCTACATGTAGGTATAATGTACACACGGTACATGTCCAAAAGTTGTTTCAGGGCAAATGAAAACTAGTTATGGACCTTTAAACATGAAGCTTTTGCAATATACTGGGCAATCATTTGCCTGTGCAAATCTGCAAACATAGCACTTCAATGGTGTAGTGTTGTCGTTTCAGAGATACCATACATGTACATGTGTTCGAAATGATAACAAGAATACTGTTTGTCACTAATGCACACAAATTAACATATTAACATTGTGAGAGAGTGATAGGATTAAGAAAGGTTTGTAACTTTAACAAATTGGAGGTGTTTATACTAATTGATTTTACTGAAAGAAAAAGTATAACTTCTGTCAACATACTGATATTTCTTTATACTATTCACACAGAGTTTTATCTCTGTTAGATGTTGATATTTCCTCATTGCAAACTGACATTTCAAGTATGTTTTGCCGAACTAAATTACAGAATACATGGTTTGAATACAAGGCTCTTTGTTGAAACAAATAACCATTTACCTCTATGCCACTTTATCATGTTCGTCATATACTGTACAAGAATACAATGTAAGACGTTTCCCCTCATCAAAAGAAAGGGAGGGATGTAGTGTTGTGGCTTCAGAGATACCATACATGTAAATGTGTTCGATGGCGATAGGCAATAACTGAGTTATAGAATAAAACATGGAAAGTATAAAGTCCTAAGAATCGTGTCACCTTTTACTCATTTTTGTAAACCAGATTAAATGGATGCGATTAACATGCCTATTCAGAATACAAAGAGTCAAAAAACCTATTCTTTTTATTTTAAGGATGACAGGGCAGTAGGTACATGTAGTCTGCTAAGAGCCAATCAGGCAATAACTCTATGTGAAAGAGTTAACACAAGTCTATTAAACTGGCTCACAGCAGATAAACGATATTGTTTTTTCACTCACCTAGAACAATAATGATGATGGCTACAATGACCAGAACGCCTACCACGGCTCCTATGATGATATATACTGTACTGTCAGCTGTGGAGCAAATCAAAAAGAGATAACAGAATTAAATCAGTATCCAGTGTTTTCCATTTATAAATTGGCAGCTTCTCATAGAGTACCGAAGTGTGACGTCATATTAGCCAAGTTATCGAGGGAGCTGGTTCCAAACAATTTTGTGCTAAACAATGGCGTGGTTATCATACCAGCGACAAACAATGAGTTCGTTGCTTGAATTATGTTGCGGTGAACCTCATGTGCAGGCTCTGTTGTTTGGAACCAGTAACTGATTCGACGAAATTAGGAAATAAAGATCACTGTCTTTCTTGGGGGGTCTTCATAGACAGGTATCTCTGTAATAATAATAAGACTGTACATTCTTTGGTCGCTGAACTGGTTTATAAAGAAGCAGTCATTATTATTATTATTATTATAAGGATTCCCAATGCCATTTCATAACCACTAAAGCAAACTCTGACATAACTTATAATAATAACTTACTTGAAGGATTGGGTAAGACCGCAGCGTCGCTGGTAGGACTGTATGGTCCCTCATAGTCATTATTCCTGGCCTTGACCCGAAAGCTGTACGAGTCGCCCACCAGGAGGTCAACTATGATCCAATTGGTATTAAGACCGTCATAGACTTGGTTCCACTCTCCCGTAGACATAGCTCTGAAAAAGGAACAAGAATTGTTACGAAGAAATGACTATGTTGAGTAACAACACTGATTATGCAACAAAATTATTTCCCAAATTTAAAACAAGAGGTTAACTAAGACCAAGTAAAGGACTGGATCCTTGGTAGACTTGGTTCCATACTCCTGTACCCATACCAGTTCAGAAAAATGAAACATGAAACAACGATTATGCTACAAATGTACTTTGAAAGGCTGAGCAACAAAACCCTTGTATATTAATAGAGCAGTATTCAACTGGCAAAATAGACAAAATAAAGTATTCTCCTCAGCAAAGCCACCTTATTTCTCCTATCGATCCCTTCCTCCCCCTTCACAGCCCCAAACCTTCCCCAGGCATGCATTTCAATTGTCAATTGACATTGGTAAATTTCATTGCTCGGATCTGCAAGCGCAAGTACCGTGTTTCAAGTGTATATTGAAGACGTCCAGGTCCATTAGCTCTGTTCGGTTCTGTCCATCGAACCACGTAAGTTACTGGATCTGTTCCTGTCTCTGTTACTGTGGGGACCCCTGGGGCATCTGGGCTGTCAGCTGATCAACAAAGATAAAGAAAAACAAAAAATAATTAAATGAGCAACAAAACACAGGATTTTTGTTCAGTATTCTTGATAGGAATTCATGAAAAATTATTGTTCATGTATAAACACCAACAGTCCTTTTTCAGGACTACACACCCTCAAGAAAGATTACACAGAGCTCTTTTCAGGACTCCTCAATACTCCCTCTCTCTCTCTCTCTCTCACGTGGTGCATCCGCAAGCCTACTGTATTAACACAATAATGTTAAAGCTTTATAACAAATAGGCCATTTTCATAAAGTAACCAAATTTAATGCAAATGTCTTTGAGAAGTGCCTCAATATGAATACTTTCTCTCCCCTTTTACAAACACTTGTGTTTCATAGTCAGCCGCAAATTCAAACATTATGTGTTGCTCAGTTTCATGGGCCATTGATAAAAAAAAATCTACTTACCTTCAGTTCTTGATGATAATAAAAGATCTTCATTCCCAGTGTAGTCATACTCCTGACCAGATCTATAAAGAACCCTGGAGCGCACCTGATAGTCAGTGTAGGGGAGGAGGGGGTCTATCTCCCCCTCACCGATTGTTACGTTGTACCGGACCCCTGAGGTTGTGTTGCTTGTGAGAGCATCCTGCCATTCGGAAGAGGAATCCTGAAGAAAAAGAACAGATGTTTGTCATCATTGGACAGGTTATTGGACAGATGGTCAGATCTTTGTTTTTCTGTCATTTGTTGATAAGTCTAAAAAAATGATTACCTCTAAATATCAATATAGGAAACAATACTTAAATGTACAAGAATTTGAAATGAAAAATTTCTTTTCCAACTTTCAAAAAATATTTATGATTTGTGAAGTCAGATCAAAGAACAGACTAACATTTAAGAAGGGGGCACAGTGATTCTAAACTTGTCTCACACAATTATACATGTTACATATTTTAGTAAAATTGATAGCACTGTAATTATTAAGTAAGGTAAGACTGCATTATTAGTGCTATCTTGCGTCTTTCTCTACTGCTACTGTTTTTCATCTACATTACCTCTTTTTTTCAGGAACCTATATTATACAAGCATTGCTTTTTAATAGGTTCCTCACATTCTACTTAATCTATTATATGAATTGAGGATTATTGATATGTGCTCATTAATACTACAATTATATTGTATCATTTTTTATTTTATATGTATGTTTATATTTTCTGTAAAATATGGAACAAATAAATCTTGAAACTTGAATAGAACAGACAACATACCTCTCTATACTGGATCCAATGGAACATGACACTATCATCATCAGGAGCCAGCCAGGAGACTGACAGGGTGGTACTGGTCTTGGACGTCTCTTCCACCATGGCTGGCTCCTGGAAGGTCGTCTCTGTCTCTGGCTGACTCATGCTGAAGGAGTCTGAAGATATTGAGGCTTGGTAGGACTCAACCTGATGAAGAGAACGTAAAAGAGTTCCTTTAACCTGTTGACATCTGAATCCTCTCCTTGCCATAGGATTAATAGAGGGGCCATCAGGGGCCATCTGGACCCAGTAGGCTAGGCAATGGGTTCACTGCTATTTTACAGTTTGGTTGTACTTATCAAAGTGAATTTAAATATCTAACATGTTTATACCTGTAAGCTTGCAGAGAAGTTGGTAGTGCGTGACCTAAACTCATTCACACATGATTCAATAAACCGCCTCAAAATCAGCCAATGTTTTTACAAAAATATAAAAAACTATGTAAATATTTGGCAAGAGGGTGTAGAAAAAATTAGAAAAAGAGCACAGCTGTATGCAACAAAGGCCCCTATACTGACTCAGAGTCTATGATCTGTGTGTTATAACAAAGATATGTGAGAGGCATTCATGTACAATGATTATTTTACTTCAATTTGCCACAGCGTAAGTTTTCAATCCATGTACCAAGTCATGTCTGAATGAGGGTTTTTTTCTGTTTCAGTTTCTTAATATCATAATTTCACAGCCTGGGCTGAATTGCATGACAATTTACAATTAAAAACATATCATATTTGGTCTTTAATTTTGTTGGGAGAGAAAGAAAAAAAGTAATTGAATCACCTTGGGCACCCTCTTCTTCCAGAAAACCAGACTATCTGAAGATATCATCACATCATCTTAACCAGTTGACTACTGAATATTCTAATTCCCATAGACATAACTAAGGATCAACCCGGCTCCCATTGACAATGGGTTAAAGCCCCACTGCACTTCTTGTAGCTACTTCCGCCCTCTATACAGCCAACAATGCCTTAGCGGTAACCGTTGATCCCCCATGATGCCTTTTTTTTTAATGTTAATTTAGAGCTGATTTGATGATATAACCACCTAACAGTGACCTTGCAGGGAGGTCTAATCCCTCCATGCAAACTAGTGCAGAGGGGCTTTAAGATTCCCTATAAAGACTCAAAATCTATATATATCTCCAGCAACAAGACATCACAATCTCCTACATAAGGAGTATTTGTGTCATGAGAAATGCTTTCATTATTATTAAACTCACAATGAAAGTATACTCGGTGGCAGCAGCAAGCCCATCACTTATAATCAGTGAGTATTGACCATCTCCACCGACTGGACTATCAACATAGCCTGTCCTGAATTCTGTAGTTTCCGTAGAGATCTTGACCCTGAACCGAAGCTCCTCCAGCGGCCCGTTGACCTCTAGAGGTCGCGACCAGGTCACGTTTACTTCGGTCGGGGTGAGGACAGCAACAGCCACCATCAGTGCAGCAGTTGGCACTAGAGTCAAGAAAGAAGGCCATTAAGAATTATAAAACTAAACCAATTTACAATCAAATCTTGTTCTTTGCATGATTTCATCTGTCTTGAATAATCAAAGTATATACTGTTGATCCATAGATTTATATTTGTAAAAGAGTTGCAGTAATGAAATTTATTTCGGAATAAAACCTGAGGGATGTATTCCAATTGTGCTTCATATCAATGAGGGCAGGGGTGTGCAAACAAAATTGATTCTGTTTGGATCTTGCATGAATTTTATAATAGGGAATAAACGTTAGTGTAAATCAAAAAACAGTTATCTGGAATGTTCTCTGATCAGGGCTGAACATGGCTCTATAATATCCATGTACAGTATCTCAGAACAAACATTCAACCAAATGGGAGACAAAAGCTGATTCAGTCTGCCTTGGAAGATATGAAACAAGTCATTTTTACCTCCAGGACTTGTCCTATGGATAGCCACAGGTCCAAGGACAGGTGTTCCCATGGAGTAGAGGTTCCTTACAGAGACCTGGGTCACATAGAAGGTGTAGGGTTCCAGGCCATCCAGCATTGCCTGGTTTGATGTGGTCTCCTGGGTGAAGACGGGGTGAAATGATAAAAGTGAGGTTCAAATATATATCTCAATGCAAGTACAATCATTATCATATTCATTATCATTATATCTACATCTACATCATCATCATCACCATCATCATCATCACTATCATCATCATCGTCACTGTCATCATCATTATCACAATCATCATCATCATCACTATCATCATCACAATCACTACAATCATCATCATCACTATCATCATCATCATCACTATCATCATCATCATCACTATCATCATCATCATCACTATCATCATCATCATCACTATCATCATCATCATCACTATCATCATCATCATCACTATCATCATCACAATCATCATCACAATCACTACAATCATCATCATCATCATCATCATCATCATCACTATCACTACAATCATCATCATCATCATCATCATCACTATCACTACAATCATCATCATCACTATCATCATCACTATCATCATCATCATCATCATCACTATCATCATCATCATCACTATCATCATCATCATCACTATCATCATCATCATCACTACAATCATCATCATCACTATCATCATCATCATCACTATCATCATCATCATCACTATCATCATCATCATCACAATCACTACCATCATCACAATCACTATCATCATCACTATCATCATCATCACTATCACTATCATCACTATCACTATCATCATCATCACTATCACCATCATCATCATCACTATCACCATCATCATCACCATCACTACCATCATCATCATCACTATCATCATCATCATCATCACAATCACTATCATCATCATCACTATCATCATCATCATCACTATCACTATCATCATCATCACAATCACTATCATCATCACAATCACTACCATCATCATCATTTCTTCCTCCTCCTCCTTGACATCTATATCAACAGCAACAGCATCATCACAACAATGTAAACAACAGGCCTTTACCTCTGAAGAGCATGTAAGGTTGCTAGTAGTGCAGTTCAGATCAGAGCTCTCGCTTTCCACCATGGCATAGCTTACAGCATAGATAGCTGTCGCCGTACTCACTCCCTCGCATTCTGACACAGGGTCAAAGGTCACGGTCAAACTATCACTTCTTGCAGCTGATAGCTGTGTTGGGTCTGTGTAGTCGGACGGTGCAAGGCACTCAGGAGCTGCAAATTGTGGGAGGGATGAAAATAGAGACTAATGCAAGTAGCTTACAACTAGTAATCAAAAGCCTGACTTCAATTTCTTTGTTTTCAAACGAAAACCATCTATCATTCAAATGCAATGAATGATCGTTCTCAGTCTGTATACCATAAATATCACATGTAGTTTGGTGTAGTTTGGTGAAATTTATCTGCTGTTTAATCTTGCAACAATGGGAATTCAGCCTCTAAAGAATTGCAGGCTTTTATGAGATACTGTATAACACATTAAATGCACTTATATAAAGTCTATTGGAGGTAATACAAAAGTTAGGCAATGGCGATTTTGTTTACAAGAACTTCCTATCAATACGTCTTTACCAAGACAAACTGAATACCTGGATAAGGTTGAAGACTGGTACCATACGTCAGCACAAAATTCACATCAGTCTGGTCAGTCTGGCCCTGAAAATCTGCACCAGTCTGCTTGTCAATACTGGCCACCACACCCTGAGCTGTGTTGGACCAATAGACCCGGCTGCTGTCTACGGATAGAGAGTCTGGTGGGAGGCCTGTGGTAAACAGAACAGCAAGGAAAATATAAGTGTCAAGGTAGTGGTACAAAAATTGTTAAACTAAAAGGTATGGTGGAAACCAAAGTGGTACCAAGAGCCTGGCACATGGCAAAGTGATAATATATAAGTAACATTCATCAAAGTTAGATTAAATTCCTCAGGAAGCTTTGCATGTTTGGTCTCTAGTTTTCAGGACATTTACACTATATATGGCCATTTCCTAACAGTTCTCAAGTATTGCAATTAGCATCAAACTAATTGTTTCATCGACCTCAGTCCTCTGTTTTGTGGCTGCTCTAAAGCCATTCAAAATTCAATTCATGCATCAACTAAATCTATCTGAGAGTGCCTGGTTTCATGTAAACTAGACACCCTTCGAATGAAAAGTCTTATCTTCTTCCCATGAAGACCAAGACTTGTAAAAATAGATCAGGGAGGTGTTTGGAGCCAGAATGGCATTAACTCATATACTCTAACACAGAGTGAATGCCCTTATGACTCTGAACAGATGAAACATGAAATACTCCGATCTCTGAGGTCACTCTACCTGATTGGGCTTGTGACGCTGCCTCAAAGAGCCTTTCACACTGGCATCCAGCAAGGTCAGAGATCCAAAGGTCATCAGAGGTCGCATCAACAAAGAAGAGAGTTGGAGCATCCGCGTTTGAACTGTCAATGTACACCGCCGACCCAGGGGTCAAGGTGTCTGAGCATGTGCAGTTCTCTGTAGCCCGTCTTTTCCGCTGACTGTTGGTGGCACCAAACAATGGGGTGGGAACCCACTCGTTGAGGTCAGAGGTCATCAGTATTGATGTTGATTGGGTGTTCTCAGCCCATACCAGAGAGCTAATCATGCATCATGGACAAATAAGAAGAACATTTCATCAATTCATGTACATGTATGAAACACTTCTTGACAAAAAGCATGTTGTCATAAGACTCTACAGATACTGCAACATGTCTGCAGACATGTAGTACATGTATGTATTTGACATGTACACAAAAACAATATATGTTGTACCAAACGGTGAAGTGTAATTCAAAGACTAAAAACATTTATTGATTTTATTCCTGGCGATATTTTCAGCATAGATGATAACATCTAAGAATGTAAGGTGAATAAACACCATTACAAATAAATATAGGGGGAGAGACTGCTTGGATTGCAGTTGGGTTTGGGTTCTATAATACCACAATTGCAGTCTTACAACTGAATTGACATGGACTACAATCATATGATTAAAATAAAATGTACACAAAATAACCAAGAATGGAATACATTAAATTTATGTAAAATGGAAGTGGAGCGGTGTGTGCAGCGCTTTGTAACCGCAAGGAAAAGGCGCAATATCAAATATCTTTTAGATTGGATTGGATTGGATTTCTGCTCTACAAATGTGCACAAGGGAATAAAAATACATGAAATAAATGAATAAACTCTCACTTTCCATGCGGATTCACACTGATTCCCTCGACTGTGTTTCCCTCTGGTGCTTCGTACACCTCCTCCATAATTGCCATGGAAACAGGTAGAGTGGTATCGAAGCTATAGATGGCACTATTGTCACTCCAGTACAATATCTGTGAGACCCAGTCGATGACGAAACCTGCCTGGTATGGCTGCTGATTGCCCAGCTCCAGAAGCTAATTTGTAAAATAAATTTAATTAAGATAATAATGTTTGTGGTGTATTGATTATAAATACAGTTTCAAAGAAATTGAGAATGTTCTTCTTCTTAACATGACTGTATAAATGCACTTTGATCAAGTGTACCTTGAGTATCAACCCAAATTCTGTCAGACTCTTTCTTCAACAATTGGAAGACTGTACTTTGCTGGACAATGTAATATAGATTTGACAAACAAATTCTGCTTCAGTAGTATATTTTTGTGTAGATTAATTTAAGTATATACAGTTAACAAGTGATCATGAGTACCCTTACAAGTTCTGTAATTTTTTAGTAACTGGAAAATCAATTTGTGTTTCTTGAGAATGTAAACTATTGAAGCTTAATTCTCAAAGTATTCAACAATGGACCTAATTCAACCAGTCCACCTTTCATTCTTGAGTTATGAAAAACACCCAAAAATAAATAACTTACAAGGGATATGAATAATTTAGTTGTTAACTGTACATGTAAATGTACAGTCTGAGAAGGCTCCTCCAATATCCTCAGAAATTGTTCAGAAGGAACAGGTTTAATGGAAGGCTACAAACTCAACTGAACATCCTCAATAGACCATCTCACCTCCTCACGATCTGACCCATCCAGTTTGCTCCTGTAGATCTCTAGATCCCCTGAAGTCTCTACGAAGAAGACCTTATCCTCGCTAGCAACAAAGGCAACGACTGAGATGGCTATGCCTCCAAGCAGTGGGATCTCTTCTTTGGTGTCCGGATCAGTCAGAGTTACTCCTGCGTTTCCTTTGCTCACCACTATGGTCGGTGGGGGAGGAGACACTATGAATGAAAAAGGAATGGGAATTTGAAAAAAAATTGTATTACCTTGAATGAAAGGAAAATGAATTTGGATTTAAATTTGAATAGAATTGGAATGGAATCAGAATGGAATCATTCAAAGTCACTTCTTTATTTCCTTTGCTCACCACTATGGTCGGTGGGGGAGGAGATACTGCAAATAATAATAATAATAATTCCGCTTTTATATAGCGCTTAATACATCTATGATGTCTCTAAGTACTTTACAGATATACTATTACCCCGGTCATTGGATTCAACACTTGCCTGCACACACTGTGTGCACAATCTCTACTCCCTGGGGACCATTTCAGCAAGGCATTACCTGACGCTCAAAAACTGTTTGAACAACAATGACGGTCGCATCCTACCAGGTACCCATTTAACACCTGGGTGGAGAGTAGCAAGTTCAGGTTGATATCTTGCCAGAGGATATTAGTGCTGTGTCAGGATTCAAACCCTCGACCTTCACATCTCCAGTCAAGCGCCTTAAACCACTCAACCACGAAACTCCTACCTAGTTCATACTGTTCAGTAAAGGATATTGAAGGAGACGATGGCTTACCTCCTGTGGTGATACTGACAGGGTCTGTAGCTGGTCCACTACCTACAGATGTAAAGCCTTCCACCTGAAAGACAGAAACAATAGCAAAGAAATACATTGAGTAGATGTCCACCTCTTCTACCCCACGTTTTTTTCCGGCAGTCCATGACCAAGAGAAATGATTATTCACATGATTTTTCAAGGTTTTTTTTATCCTACATTACGTTATGATCCATATCATAGGCCATATTGCAAACTGGTATTCGTTTTTCAACATCATCCATCTCTCTCTCTCATTCTCTCTGTCTCTCTTTCTCTCTCTTTCTCTCTCTCTTTATCTCTATCTCTCTGTATCTCCATCTCTATCTCTCTCTCTCTTCAAATGTTGTTGAACTTTTGCATGCTCTAAGCAGCATTTATGTCATCTTATTGATGAATCCCATCTATTGAATCCCATGTATCACTTCAATATCTTTGGATATATCTTGCCAAATATATTGACAAAACTTTCTAGTTGAAAAATTGATTAGGGAAAGTTATCATCACCATCGTATCGTACTCATCATACATCATTATTCCATTTAGCTGAGGAACATTCAAATTAAAGTATACCATTAAATCTCAAGAACATTCCGGTCAATAGTCTACGGAGGATTAGAAGATGATGAAGCGGATCCTAATCAAATGATTGGTTGAGAGCATACACGTGACTAGGCATTTATTTTGCCTAACACGTAATTTTACTAATGACCAGTCATTAGTAAAATCATGTTATAAAACATAATTTTATAAGAGTATAATAATGCATGCTTCTGTACTCCATCTAAAAGCAAGTTTAGTCTTATCTTCTCACCTGAAAGAAGTATGTGGTGTTAGCTGTGAGGTTGGCGAATGAAAACACATCTACATCTACGCTGACATTGAACACCGTGAGCTGCTCCACGTCTGTTCCCCATGACACATTATACCCTTCAAAAACACCATTGATCTCTGCAGGCTCGGACCAGCGAAATTCAGCTGAATACATGGTGGTTCCTGTCATGATGTCTGTGGAGTCTATGGCGAAGGCTCTTGGGTTGAGAGGAACTGAGGGAACTGCAGAGAGATTTGAAGATTAAGTCCATAGTCAGAAATGTACAAGTAAATCGATGGAGATGACATCTACAGTTCTAGAAGAACAATTCTTCCTTTTTTTTTTGGGGGGGGGGGGTATTGCATTTGTTTCCTACATGTGTCGTTCTTAAATTCATGTATAATACAAAATTTGTCTGCTTTTCTAGCATTTGTTTTTCCTGTTAGCACTAAAACCCTGTGACATATCACTCAGGGTCTACAGAAGCACCTATTCAAACTAAAAGTTGACTTTCTATGTAATTTAATACTTGATTACAATGTCGAGTACAATGAATTTAAGACCAATGAGTGCATCTCATGTTTCACTCTGTACAAACTCAATTATTCTATTTCTCTCTCCCTTCTATAGAAAGTTTGATGCACTTCTTTCATCGTTGGAAGGAAAGGGTGTAGTTCTAAAGCAACAGCTCAAGCCCTATACCGTCTGTATTACAAACAATTCTCTATCTTTATGATACAACAGCACAATGCTATGACATATGGAGTTCTATGTGTACATGTATGTTCTTGACAAACCTGACATAGGTGACATCATCTGGGCAGCCGTTTCTGGCGTCGTGGCCCAGTAGGTGTAGGGACTGATCGTGATGTCAAGGGATTGAAACGGTGTCAGATTTTTGATGTTATAGGAAGCGCTCTGAAAGAGATATAAATGTACAAGGACATTATTTAAAATGAGTGGAAGGGGCATGAATATTGTAAACGTAATATATGTAAGTGTGTTCTTTGTAACATTGCTTTATATTCACAAGCAGTTTTGCTATCTAGCAGTGTCCTATTACCAAAGACTTGTATCTCTAAATCACTCATTCAAAACTCGTAGACATTTTCAACTGGAAATTCTTTTTTTACAGTTGAATAATGTCAATTTAAATTATTTAGACAGCTCAAGAATGACGAGCAACTTGATAAAGGTGGTTGTAAGTAATTTGCCTGGTTGGAATTGTGCACTTAGATTAAAGAAAGAAAACTTTTCAATTTAGAGTTAGTGGGCTCACTCATGTCTTATCCACACAACCCAGGCCTAGCAATCACAAGATAAAATAAAAGCCGATTTACAGAACAAGGTACAACATAATCACCTGTACAGTCTCTGTATACGTTTGTTCAGGAGCCGTCACAGCTATGGTGTAAAACACAATCCCGTAGTTGACCTCTGTGCTGGCCTGCCATGTGATGTTAAAGTCATCCCATGTACCTGTGACCTGGATGGAGGAGGGCGAGATTTCTTCGGCCACCACAGTTGGGCGCTCACTGTAACCCTCTGTGAATAAGGAAGGAAAATTTATCCATGAGTTGTCAAAAATGATGTAAACATGTATATGAAGATCAACCTACATGTACATGACAGAGACAAAGTAAATTCACTAACTGGATGCTTTTCTAACAAGGTATTATTTAGTCTGTAAATCCAACTGAAAATCAACTGCAATAATGGGGACTATTCTGAACACATTTCGATATTTCACATACATGTAATACTTTTTTCGATTTGTTTTCAATTTGTTTTTTTTTTTCTTTTTTTTCCATGACTTGCACAACTGCATTACATGTACATACATGTATTTGTGCTCATAGACAGCTGCAGCATTCTGGTCCTTTAAAATAAAAAAAAACAATACAGATGTTTTACACCAAGGTAAAAGTAATTTTCTGTCCATGTAAGTTCTTTTGCGATCTGTATTTCCTACAGCAAGTTCAATGTATTGTTTTGCTATTTTTTGAGAATTTGTTCTCTTGAAACCAGAGCTCTTACAGAGCTTTTCAAATTTAATGTATTGTTGATTTATTTTTATTATGACAGGTCTTTTTTAATTACCAAGAGCTCCCTTTGAGCTTTCCAAAGGTAAAGTACCTGAAGCTCTGACGCATCATTTCACTGATGTTCACTGTACATGTATGTCTATATTAACACAGGTACAGCTATTAAAACAAGCATCACATAGACTTCATTCATTCAAATACTACCGGTATACATCTTACCAGGTAAAGGTTTGAGTGTCTCCTGTACAATGGTCAATGCCTGGACATCGGTAGCCGGTAGCAAGGCTTGTCTCTGGCCACGGTCATCGCTGACCTCTACCCTCGACTGGCTGTTGATCCAGAAGAGTTTGGAGCTGTAGAAATGCAGCGCCAGGCTCCTGATAGAAAAGTCAAAGTGAAATTGATTGTAATGACGTGAAGCAGGGTATTAAAAGTCCTTTCATATGATTGGATGAAGTACCCGTAATGCCATTACTTGGTTTCAAGCACAGAACAATCTCAATCCATCTTATACATACATAACTTATTTACAAACACAATCCAGTATGTATTCTTTGATGATCATCACATGCGCTTCTGGCTGTTCACCCTGTAAACATGAATACATATAGGACCAGATCCTTCATGGCATCAGGTCCTGCTCTGTGGAACTCCCTTACCTTATTAAAACAATTAGGAATATATATCTTCCCTTGATACCTTTAAGAATGTCCTTAAGACCTATCTTTTCTTAGAGAAATGTTTGTATTTTCTGTATTATATGTATGATTTATAAAGTGTTATGTACTATAGTGTAAAGCACATAGAGAATTAAATTGAAATTTACAAATTTAACATTATTATCATTATTATTATTATTCCATCTACTTGTTTGTACTACAGCCAACAATTTTGCAAAAATTTCGTTATAAAAAAATATATAGTGGGAGGTACATCTACAATGTACAAAAAGAAATATCCTTTGCAGGAGGGTGTTCACTTGACAATTTCTCAACTTGGGGTGAATATCAAAGAAAGGGAGAAATTATATTATTGAAGCACAAGAATGTACATCATACCAACAAAAAACAGCCTTCAAACTACATCTGGTGATGAAGGGAAAAAAAATGAGAGCATTACTATTTTTAAATATATTTGACTAAACTCGAATCTAAATAAGCATCACGAGCAAGAAGACATAAGATTCTACTCACGTTGTCTCTGACAGCACTTCACCAATCTCCTCTGTCGTTGACATTGGATCAGGGCTGAGGGATCATGGGAAGGGGTAACCATGGAAACAAATACAAAACAGGAGGGAAATGGAGGTTCAGGTGAAAAACTCAAAATAAACTCAAAATATGAAATTGAAATGAGATAAGCATGCATGGCAGAATGTCAGTGCGTATATTGTAGAGATCAAACTTTGGGCTATGTTTAACGCAAAAGTGAATTGGGAATAAATACAGTGAACGAAAATCATAGAAAGTGCAAATAAGGGTAGGTAAAATGGGAGTAGAAAAGAGATAACAGGTTATAAATATGACTTACAGGATGAACAATACATAAATTTCATACTTATGTTTTTATCACATTCATATGTGCATTACCTGCAAAAGTAAAAATATGAATTTAAATCATAAAATTGAATTTCTAAGAAAATTTACTTACATAATTATGTGTATTTCACACTCACTAAAAGAGGTTCATTTTTGGGGGGTTTCCTGTATTTTTTCTTTATTTCCCCTTCCTTTTCTTCCTTTTCTACTCTTATCTTGCACCTCTTTTCTGTTGTTATTTCTCCTTTCCTTTTCTTTTCTTATTACTCCTCTCCTTGTACTTCCTCTTCTCCATCTCCTTCTAAATTTACTCCTCTTCCTTCTTCTCTTCCTCTCTTCTCCTTCTTCCTATCCTCTATTTTTCGCTCTCTACGCTCCCTTCCCATCTTGTTCTTCTTCTCTGCTCCTCATATCCATCTCAAATTCAGTGACCAATACCTTATCCCTGCCAGCCGGGCCCGAAACAGCTTCAGCTCCTCGGTGACGCCTTGCCTAGACACCACAAACCAATAGACGTATCCCCCTCCCAGGTCAAGGGTCAACCCTGCAACAACATCCAGCGAGAGGTCACCGATCTCATAGAACACCAGAGGGCTCTCGCCGTTAAGTCGCGACCCCTCGACGGACGAGGATGATGTCCAGTAGATGTAAGCCTGGACCGAGTCGATGGCTATGTCTTGGACATCATTGGCGAAGGCGTTGATGGAGGTCGGGGAGGTCACGACGGAGGATTGATTTGATAATCTCCCTCGGATAATCTGCAGAGAAATAGTCACTCTGAATTAAATTTCCATTTCGGAAAGACAGTTTATACCAATCACACACAGCTATTAAAACTCACATATTCAGCAATATAATCTGCAGAGAAACAGTAACTCTGAATTCAATTTCCATTTCGGAAAGAAAGTTTGTCATTTATTCCATACCTGATTTTGGTCACGGTCAGCCCAGTAGATAAATTCACTTAGCCAGTCCACAGCTATAGCATCCACGGAACTTCTGACCCCAGGAGGGACAAAGGTCAACTGCTCCTCTATTACGTCGCCCTCTGCTGACCGATAGAGGTCACCCATAGTTGAACTCCAAATATAGTAGCCTTGATACCACTCAATATCTAGAGATGAGAAAGGTAATTGAAAGGTCACCAGAAACGAGAAAGAGGGAAACAACAATTTATTTCATTTGACGTACAACATCAAGCAATGAATATGACTTTGCTACAAAGAGATCAGCAAATGAACTGCTCGATGCATAGCTGAAAACCTCCGCCTTGGAACAGCACCTGATGACTGACGATATTCTATCACACCTGTCTTGAGTTTGATGGTCATCTGTCCAATTGTCGTAATGATAATGCAATCACAAGCTATTTTTGCATACATGTACATAATGAGCCCAGGGACCTTTGACTGCATGACCCCAAAATCTAATCAGTTCATTGGCTCTGCAAGATACAAACATGTCTTGAGTTTGATGGTAATCCGTCAATCAGTTCTTGAGATATAACGCGATCACAAGAATGGGACATACGAAAGGACGTAGAACCTGAAAACAAAATGCCTTCGGCTACTTTGTTGCGGAGGCATAAAAATGAGGTGTCTTTCCCAGGAATATGACTAAGGGGTACCGTAATCGGTGATTATAAAATGAATCAGGACTAACAATTTGACTTCAGTAAGTACATTCAATGTTTGTAGACCATAGTTGTACATTAGGGGTTAAACACATAAAGCAAGCCAACAAGAGATATCAATTATAATGTGAGTCAGTCATCGTACCTTTAATGGTTGCCTGGGGGGATAAGAGCCGAGATTCTGCATTGCCATCTAGCTGGCTCCTCCAGACATCAGTAGCATTAGCAAGTATCAAGTATGGCTCCACATCCACTGTCAAGATAAAACAGGAAAACAAAATGCATAATATGGAAGTGTCATGGTCTAGTGGATACGCCATCGCCGGGACTGTAAATCATAGGGTTTGTGGTTCAAGTCCTGCCACGGCAATAATGTCCTTTGTCAAGCCAATAATATGCATTTGCCGCTCTCCACCCAGGTGTTAAATGGTTACCGTAAGGTGCGAGCACAAATCGGTAACCTAGCAGAGCCGGGGTAATATCAGAGCTCCTTGTGCACCTTGAGTGGTGGATATATGTGCTATATAAATATCCAAAATTATTGTCATTATTATCATACCTTTCACTATTCTTCTCAAACAAGACTTTCAGTATTCATCTCAGACAATAATGCAGTTACTATGACTATAGCTCTATTTATCCAGACGACGTATATCTTTTAGATTTTCATTTTGTTCCCACAACAAGCCTTGGAAGCAAAAAATAAGCCCTCAAAACCTACCTTCAATGAGAGTAGATCCAGAGAAGGTCTCAGACAAGGGGCCAAGACCCCCTATCGAATAGGCCCGGACTTGGACCGAGTACTCTGTGCTTCCGTTGAGGTTATCAACTAGAGCTGAATCTTCCTGGAGACCGGTCAGGGTGACTGTGTTGCCAATTTGAAGATTGGTTAGAAGGATTTCATAGAGCCACTCCTCCCAAGCCTCCTCTCCTGTTAGAAGGATATACATGTACATGTTAACATCATGGTAATTTAATCATTTTATCCTATTAGTAATAAGATTATGAGATACCTTCAAAATGTCTCAGGGCTGAAAAAAGCACAATATTGGGTCCTCCAATTTCCTGCCAAAGTAACAGAGATAGAGGTACAAAAGCCATTTAATGATTGATGCTGTAAAGAGAAATAATTCAAGATGTAGGGACACTGATTTTCCGTTTCAAAAAATTGCCTTTTCCATTTCAGAAAATCTGGAATTCCGTTTTGCCATAGACTTTGTACACATGAAAAAACTAAAATTCTGTTTACATAAGATTTTCATTAAAACATGAACTTGTAGGGTACAAATGTTCTATTAAAGCCGCCACCTTTGACAAGCCACTGATAACCACTCAAAAACATACGGACGGGACTGGATAAACTTGATGCAAAATACTAGTGAAAATATAGACCCCTACGGGCCCTAGAGTCTAGGCTAGACCTACAAAAAATTATCAAATGTTTAGATTTACCAACTTTAAATTCGAACTTAGACAAGCAGACTAAAGTCAGCGGAATATGTCAGAACACGACATATTCCTGACGGAAAGGATGAGTACCGACGTCGACGAAAACATTTCAGTCTTGGCTGTCATGTCCGCAATCGATCGATTTTAGGCGCACATGCCAGCCCCTTTTTCGAATTGTACAACAGCGTGTGTACAATCTCGCCGCACGTAGCGCCCGCTGCTGGCGTGTGTGTGCCTAGTATTACGTCTACGTAATACTAGGTGCCTAGCAGTCATAATAGGATCGTTTCGCTGCTATTTGTACCGTGTTTTGTGTCACGATCTCTATTGGTCCAGCGAAACAAAATGGCAGCGCCCGGTCTCCTAAGAATCTGACGAATATCGCTAAATATTCGGAATTATTAACCATGATTTGAGACCCAAATTTTTTCCCTGCATAACGAGTCACAAAAATAGTGTAAGTTTTACGATTTTCTTCTTGAAAAATGAAAAGTTTTGAGGTAAAAGGGGTTTTTCCGTGATTTTCCGTTCGAAATTGCATTTTCCGTTTCAAATGGTCAATTCCGTGAATTCCGTCCGTTTTCCGTGATCGCGGAAAATCAGTGTCCCCAAAGATGGATCAGACTGAAGAAAAAAAATATATTAAAAGGAGAGGAAGACGTAGAAATGGGAACAACAGAGAGCCTGACTGTCAAATGGCCTGCCAGGCTGACAAATACATTTTCGTTTTAAATGGTCTGAATGTGTATGTTTAGTTCCCCCACCCCTTCCCTTGACAACAATTTCTAGAGGATGTTGAGGTGTTGTGGTCCAGTGGATGAGCCTCCGGACTGTGAACCACAAGGTATGAGGTTAGAATCTCTGCCACAACACTATAGCCCTTTGGCAAGAAGTTAATTTACATTTGCCACACTCCACCCGGGTGAGGTAAATGAGTAACTTGGTGGATTCTTCCTTGAAATGCACTGTGCGCTGATAAAGGCTGCCGGAGCTTTAGCTAGGGTAATTATTTCCAATGCTCTATGAAAGCGCCGTTATATAATGTGTTATGCGCTTTACAAGAATGCATCATTATTATTAGAAGAAGATTACATTACATGTAAGAGGGGTAGGACTTGCCTTTGCCTGGAATACTGAGCGGTCTGGTCCATGTGATGTCTGCCGTACCCTCAGTGAAGAGGACCTGCAGGTCTGTAGGAGGGAATGCTGGGATAGGTATCGGCTGGTAGGTCGGGTAGAAAACGTCTAAGCCATGGTATCCATCCACGCAGAGAAACAAATCCCCTTGCGTAAACTGTCCTGGATTCCCTTCAAAAAAGATTCGCTCGGTGTCCCGATAATTATAGTTTGGGTCACCTAAAAAGCATGATGCCACGCTGCCGGTCTCTCTTGCGAAGGTCCAGGTGAGAGAACTGTTGAAGTATACGATGCTGGTGACGTTGATGAACTGATGATTCGATGTGTCTTCAGCAACATGCATAGCCTTCTGGTTGCTGCCATCCAGTGAAGCACTGTGCATGGAATTGCCAGTCGAGTTGGAGTAGAGTATCTGGAACGTTTCTGACAGGACAGTGAACGATGACTGCCCTGACAGATTAATGATGATATCAACACTGCTAGCCTCGACGGTGGAAGATGTCAGAGACGTTCGCCGGATTCCAACATCTTGCTCACTCCAGAACAAGTACCTAGCAAGGAAGAGAAAAGGGTTATAGTATTCATAAATCATTAGATATATGGTTCCAACTTTAATGAATTGCTTTCTTTGTTCAGCAACCAAAAATCCTAAAGGTAGGACATATATGTAACACTTTCCAGTAAAAAAAAATCATTTTAAACATCAAATTGAATGATATTAATTATCAGGACTCCATACTTAATTTTTTTTCATTGTTGGTGTGGACTGCAATTCTTAGGGTCTGCATGCATGATGCTTATATCAACAATTTGAAATTTGAGGGGTCCAGTCTGAAGATTTTTTGGCACCCACGTGTCCAGGATGCCTGCTTGTGTCGACTCCTAAGATATTCTTTATCATAGATATACACATGCAGCCTGTCGATCAATCTTTTCAAGAATACACATAGTTTGTAACTATTTGCCAAATTCTTCCTCAGATTTACATTTTTGAAAAGGAGAGCCAACACATGTTGCCAGGAACAGTTAAAGAAAATCAGGAATTTTAGTCTTACCCACTAAACGGATCAACCTTCATTTCCACAGGCACCGACCCTAGGTTAGCCACAGCAACAGAACAACCAGAGACATTCAGATCACAGCGTAAAATCTATGAAGAGAAAAGCATGAAATTAAGATTTATCCCATCACTCCTATTAATGTTGCAAATCAAATTAGATATCACCTAGTACATATTTGTCATTGTGGCGTTGAGGACAATGAGCTTTCAACAGATATAACATCATGTAGGAGAACCATGGTATAGTGGTTCATTTACTTGACTCTCAATTGAGAAGTTGAAGATTCTAATCTTCTACCAATGTATCCTTAGATCAGGCATTAAATCCACAATTCTTTCTCCTACTAAACCGAGATGTGCGTTTGTGTGTGTAATCTGGGTTTTTATAGACGTGTATCAATCAGATATGATTATTTTACGTCTGGTAACCGACATTTAACGTCACTATCTGAAAGACGTGACTCGGCCTAAAACCGGCTTCGGTTTGTAGGCAAGGACAGAGAGTTGACCGTACCACGGGCATTACTGCCGGATCAATTCACTTCTCACCTCTCCCGAGTAATGGATACTTTCCTCATTCTTCATTGAAAATGTGCCACAAACTGCAGCTAGAGCCAACTGGGGTGATAATTTCTGAAAGCACAGTGAGACGTTGCTTCAAAGTGTGGTATGAACTATACAAACACAAATTATTATGATCACTACATGGATTTAAGTGCATAATTTCTTTTAAAATCGCACTAAAATATGAATATTCTTGAACATGATAAACATTGTCAACCTCTGTCCCTTGAACAAAGTACAGCTGCTCGTTCAGCCAATCAACATCAAGCTTTGTAGGAGCTGTGCTCTGATCGGTGTAAAGGACTTCCGAAGGTGCAAGGGTCAAGTTTGCAGGGTCAATGGTACGGCGATGGATGCGTCCGTCAGAATCACTAATGAAAATGAAGTTCTCCCAGTAGTCCACAGCAACATCTATTCAAATCATCAACAAATTAAAGTTGAATATGGGAATATACATACATTTAAAATATATTTGAATATCTACCCTATTCTAATAGATTAAATTGATAAGTATTCCTTCATTAAATGGTGTATAAAAGGTTGTATATATGGCAAAGGTTAGGGCAAGTCAAACCCATTCTTTTCTGCAACGTTTCCGACCAATTCTAGAATTTTAGTAAACTATATGTATGATGACTATGTCATACCGACAGCCCTACTAGATCTAGAGCTAAATCAGAGAAAACATCGTAAAACATCAATTTATATTAACAATTTCATCTATTTCGAAATATATCTTTAATATATGGTTCTTGAGTTAATAAGTAGTCATAGGGGGAAAAAGTGTTTCACTTCTGCAATGCCTTCTATTTGTGCATTACCCTTTTCATTTTGAAAATCATTATACATGTGGCATAAAAAAACATTGATACTCACCAGATATTGTGGAGTTTTCGTTATCCACGGTGTGTATGTCATTCAGTAAAGGGTCAGAATCTATAATTCGCTTCCCATACTCAACCAATGATACCGAAGACATTTCTGACAAATTGGTAAAGCTCAAACTAGTGACACCAATGACAAGGTATGGGACCACACCAAGATCTGCACATGAAGAAATGAAACAATGTGTGTCAAATTTTGTGTATTAAAACATTTTGTGGAAAATGCTTTTTTCCTATGCTATTTTGAAAGAAATGTGATGCTGTCTTTGACCTTTCAATTCAATTCAATTCAATTTATTTGACCAAAAACACCAACAAAAATCAAATTGGGGTATACTGAAGAATGGCTAATAGTTGGAAGAGGGCCATGATGTTGAATAAAAAGAACTTTGTAAATCACATACATGGTGGTCTGTAAATACATTTTTATATCTATATTAGCTTTTTAAATCAGCAGTTGATGGAATAAGGTTTAACAGATGTAGTTTATATATACTGAAAACGATTATTAATATTTAATCAATTTATTCTATCAACGATTAATATCGTGACCAATGATTTATATACAATTTTTTAATTTACTACTTCACTCGTGAAGAAAATGATGTAGCAGCTTTAAAGCCCCACTGCAATACATATAACTACTTGCGCCCCCTATATAGCAAACAATGCTGTATCGGTGCATGTTGATCCCCCATGATCCCCTTTTTCTCATGTTAATTGAGAGCTGATATGATGAGATAACCACCTGTCAGTGATCTTGCAGGGAGGTTTAATCCCCTGGCCAAACTGGTGCAGACAGGCTTTAAATCAGCAGTTGGTGGAATAAGGTTAACAGAGGCAGTTTATTTGTACCAAAAAACGAATATTAATATTTAACCAATTTATTCTATCAACAATTAATATCGCGACCAATGATTTATAAACAATTTTTTTATTTATTACTTCACTTGAGAAGAAAATGATGTAACAGCTTTAAAGCCCCACTGCACTACTTATAGCTACTTGTGCCCTCTATATAGCAAATAATGCCGTATCGGTGCCTGTTGATCCCCAAAGATCCCTTTTCTTTAAATGTTAACTGAGAGCTGATTTGATGAGATAACCACCTGTCAGTGACCTTGCAGGGAGGTCTAATTCCCCCTGGCCAAACTAGTGCAGAAGGGCTTTAATAAATCTGTATCTACATGAAGCTATTCATCAACTGATTTGTAAAGGTTCTTAAGATTTGTCCAATGCTGTTAACATGTATCAAAACATTGCACAGACTTCAATAAATGATTTTCAGTTTACTTTGGGGCTCAGCTCCTGTGGTGATGTTGACCGTATCGCTTATTCCCTCGCCTTCCATGTTCCGCGCTCTCACGGACACCGCATACAGAGTCGACGCCCTCAATGAAGAGTCTACTACGGTGGCCTCCGTCGTCGACCCGCCTACGCCCAGCACGATCCTAGCCTCGTTGAAGAAGTTCTGGACGGCGATGGTGTAGCCTATGATTGGTCCGTTGGGGAAAGGGGGCGGATCCCAGGTAAGGGAGATGGTCGTAGGGCTGGAGCTCACGATGCTTGTGATGGTGGGTGCGGTAGAAGGGACTATGGGTAGAAAATAAAAGTAGGCAAAATGTACAATCATGGGTGTCAATATTTTCCCACTTTTACTTTGAGGGATAATATTGATGGACAGGAAATACATGTGCATGTAAGCTCATTACTTTTGCCATGTGTTATATGAGCGCAAGCAAACAGTTTCATTTGACTCCCAATCCAAGGGTTGAGGGTTCAAATCCCAGCCCGGGCACACACGTCTTTTGGCAAGACATCAATTCATATTTGCCATTCTCAACCCACGTGTCAAATGGGTACCTGGCAGGATTAGTTCCTTGAAATGCACTGTGCACTGATTACAGCCGCCGGAGCTAAAGCTAGAGTAATAATATCCAAAACTTCTTTGGAAGTGCTAAGGGATGTTATATCATCATGTTATATGTGTTGTACGAGAACGGTTTAATATTATTATTATTTGAAATATCTGGAAATTCCTCAAGTTCAGCCACTTACCCAAGTGAAATTATTTTGACACATTGTGAGAAATTAATACCTACATGTGCACCATTCATTTGTTCAAAACAAATTATGATATTCTCAGGCTTTTATCAGCGAGATGTCTCAAACACCGCTTGCAACACCTGGGGATGTTTCACAAAACTTGTCATCAGTGACAAATGACAGTTTTTGTTATAAGCTACTGAAATCCTTGCTTCTGATTGGTTATCAGCAGATTTGTCACTGATTTTTGTAATTTGTCACTGAAAAAAGGCTTTGTGAAATGGGCCCCAGTATTCCATTTCGTAATTCATTTCTTACCTCCAAAGGGCAGTGTCTGCACACTACTGGTTGCCTGTGACGTGAGGGTGTGTCTGGGGGTGATTACCCAGACGACTCGGAACTGATAGAGAGTGTAAGGAATCAGATCAGTTATGTCCAGAGTGGTTTCTGATATCGGCTGCAGATGTTGGAAGAGAGATTATAAACAAAAATGGGTAACAAAAAAGGAATAGAGCACAAACTTCTTGTCCAAAACATCTAAAAAATTACAGGTGAAAATATACTGATCAAAGTCATATGTTTCATACCAATTTGTTCTTACAGCATACTTGTGCTTTTTCACTAAAATAACATTTTATTGACTTATTATTGACTGCAGAACAATAATCTATTTGTTAAGAATTAAAATAGAGTTAACAAAAACTACTTAAGAATTTTAATAGACCAGCTGAACAAATTAGTATAATCTTATTTTAATTGACATGTACAATATCCCATGGATACTTCTATCTCTACCTCTTATAATTCTCACACTATATATATTTTGTTCCTTATGATCAACTCTACCTCTAATATGCAAGGAGTCTGTAGCTAACGAGGTCTGAAAAGATGGATCACATTGTCCATATGGAGCTACATGATTAATGCATATACTTAAGCACAGAGATAACACCATTGTGGCTTCAAACAGATGACATCACATATATGTATTTATGATCAACAAAATAAACACAACGAAAGATGTACAGTCAAACCTGCTTTAGTGACCACCTGTCTACAAAGACCACATTTTCTGTTTCCCTTGAAAATGGTTTCTCATTGAAAAATGAACTAAAGGAAACCTGTCTACAAAGACCAACTGTCTACAAAGACTACATTTTTTATTTCCCTTGAAAATGGTTTTTCTCATTGAAAAATGAACTAAAGGAACCTGTCTATAAAGACCACCTGTCTACAAATACCACATTTTTGTTTCCCATGAAAATGGTTTCTTATTGAAACATGAACTAAAGGAACCTGTCTATAAAGACCACCTGTCTACAAAGACCACATTTTTTGTTTCCCTTGAAAATGGTTTCTTATTGAAACATGAACTAAAGGAACCTGTCTCCAAAGACCACCTGTCTCCAAAACCAATTTTGTGTTTCCCTTGTGCAGTCGCTATCGACAGGTTTGACTGTATCTCTAAAATTGAATAATGTGAGCTCACCTCTCCTGACCCAAAGTAGTTCCATGCCTCGCCCCCTCCCTCCACGTATCTCCATTGCACCAGGTACCTCACATCCTGATGACTGGCTGCCGTCCAGGACAGGGTCAGGGATGTTGTTCCTATGTTGCTCGGCTGAGGGGATGATGGCTGCCCTATTTCATCTAGGAAAACAAAATATATATGAAAAAGGAACAATTGTTATTATTTACATGAAGTCAGGGCCCTGTCGCACAAAACTTACCATTGATGGTATTTTGCCATCAATGGTAACTACCCTGGAAACCTTGATTTTTGATTGGCTGTTGAGCCCTGTTACCATGGAAGTTACCACTGATGGCAAAGTTACCATCAATGGTAAGTTTTATGCAACGGGCCCAGATCTAAAGAGTACAGACATGTAAATATCAATAACATAAAAAATATGGATGATGAATAAAATGTGATCTGTAAAAATTCTTCATAAAAAAAGAAGATCAACATTTCATCCCAAATGGGAAGGATTCCTTATACTAATCTGTATTCCCTCCCCCCCCCCTTCAGACAACAAAATAAGAATGACAGATACATAGTGGAGTGTGATAGTATGAAGCTGCATTATGCAGTGTTTTTGAGGAAATATTATTTGTAGTGTACACAGCGTTATGTGTTTTTATGCTCAATATACAAAACAAACAATGCACACAAAAAAGAAGGTGAACATATGAAATTTGGGGAAAATACTTTCATGAAAATGTCATACACTGTGGTATATATTCGAGTTTAAATGCTTCATCAAAATACATTCTAGGACAATAAATAATGCATAATTCATTAACATCTGGTATGTAAACTGAAACTACTTTCATGCATGTACACAAACGGTTCATCGTCATGGAAACTTACCGATCACTGCTTTTGCGTATTCATTTTCTGCAAACAGGCAACCCGACTGGCAATATTGCACCTGTTGAAGATGATTGATAGAGGGGAGATTAGACGCAAGATTTATCTATGTCACAAGGTCATTGGTTCACTTCAGGAACAACACAAGAGGTTTGAATTTCAAAGTTTGATGCCACTAGACCCTTCTACGGTGTATACTGTGGGTCTGTGGGTGTGGGAGTAGTACTGCAAGATACCGCATATCCTGGGCCTTTCATTTTATAGCTCTATATATCCCAGGTTCAGTGGTTCACTTTAAGACCAAAAAGTTTGCCTTTTCAAAGTTGATAATAATCTACCGGTAGAACCATCCACAATGTACAATTTAGCAGAAGTGTAGTATTGGAAAAAGTAACATTAAAATTGTAAAGCTCTACATGTACGTGTATGTATATCTCAAGGTCAGTGGTTCACTTCAGAAACAACAAATACAGGTTTGAATTTCAAAGTCAACACCCCTAGATTCATCCACAACATGCAGTGTGGGTGTAGTGGGTCTGTGGTGCATTTCAGAAAGAAAAACAAGTTTGAATTTCAAAGACAATAATAGACATAAAACTATCCATTATGTGCAATGTGGATACCGGTATGTACAATACTGCATTCATATTTCATGCCATGTCGCAGTGCTGCAATGTAAAATGGTCTTGCTGTGCAAATAAAGTAAATATAAATTTTTGAAGTAATTTAAAGTAGTGGAATTCCTGCTTCAAGACAAAGACTTTTCAAGCAGGATATTTTTTATCAGCATGCAGACATTTCCATCCAATCACCTTTATGAACTTGAAAACAGCTAGAAGTTCTTTCCTTTCCATCTACCTGATTCCATAGTGCTGCTAACATACATTCATAACTTCAAAATTGTTTTCTAGTACAAATAAAGCAACTCTTTTCTTTGAAAGTAATCTTGCTGGAGTGAGAAGGGTATAGGTACGAGAAAAGCATTGGCGCCAAAACATGATTTAGGTTTCCAATCATTCAAACTTACAAAAAGCATGAAAACTACACTTACCCTGAATGGTTCTGATGTGTATGTCTCATTCTGCAACAGAAAACAAAAAATAATATCATACATTCAGAAGATGAAGGTGATCGTCTGCAGATTACTGCAAAATATTCCACAGAAAAATACAGTTTACATTTTGGACCACTTGTGTATTAAGACATGGGGTGTTTCAAAAAGACTAAGATCATCTTAAGTTGGACTTAAACTATGGTAGGCGATTTATGCCCTCAAAAAGTCTTGAAATTTAGAAATGATGAATTTTAGATGTTTTTTCCTTCAATAATAAAGTATCCACAAATGTGAATTCTGTAGATTTGGCCTGCCATACTTCAAAAACAACTTGAGTCATCTTAGTCTATGTGAACCCATCGACTACTGAGTTATTTCATACCCATAGGCTTTTATACAGGAACCACCCAGTCCCAGTAGGCAGTGTGTTAATACTACTTCATAGAAAGCATGATTCTCTTAGAATGTCATTCTCTTGCCAGAATGAAAGATAATCTTTAGTCTAATCATTTACTTGACATCCAAAAAAAATTTCACTAAGAGCCAGAAGGGCACATCATCTTTGCATCTAGAGGTAGAGTTAATCATTCTCTATCTCTCATCAGAAAGTGAAGTATATACTTACACACACTGCATGGCACTGTGAAAGTGTGGAGTTGTCCCAGGATGAACATCCCGTTGAACACTGCAAAGGAAAGAAGAAAATGAGCAAATATATGCAATTCTTAAATCCAAGAATAGTAATAAAATTGTTATATTCACTTCTAACCTACATGTACTGTACATAATCAAACATAACACATGATTCCATTTTTAAATCATAGAATTTTCTTTTGAAACTGACGATGAAGTAGTTGTAGTTCGCTGATGTCTAACAGATGAGTTTTCATGAGTTTCTTCATGAATGAAAGATGAAGCCAGTTTCACATACTGTCAAGGTTTATGAAGCTCTTGATTCCTTCATGCAACCATGGTAACCTGTGTAGCCCCATCGGTTATATTTATATTCTAATACTTGAGTAATAGGTGTATATATTTTCAATATTCAGAACAGATCTAGAGCATTGCATTTCCTTTTTTTTATGGGGAGGGGGTAGAGTTAAAATACTACTCTTTGATTGTGATCATTCTTTACACCTGTAACATTTACTATAAAAATGGTTCGACAATATAAAAAAACATTGCATGAAAATGTATAAATATATCTAAGTCTACATCTCAATAAGTATATAATTCTGGCAACAGGAAGAAAAATTCAACAGTCACATTTTTTTAATGGAGAATAAAGGAATTTTGTGAGTCACAGACATTTCTGACTTTTAGACATAAAATGTCAATAACATAAGAAACCACATGTTTGCAATGTAAAGTGGTTTTCAATCGAAATGTCACTTAGGTCATATACATAAATCAATCAGTGACAGTGACAAGTACATTTACTCACTGAGCTATTTCTGCATGGTGCGTCACATTGGCCGGTGTCTGATATGATGCTTGCCTGTATTGGGATATATAACAAAAAATGAAAGGACAAACAGATTGATATGTATGTACATGTACCATGTTAACTTGGGAGTAATATTAAATCAAACATGAGAGAGGGGAAGACAGGGAATTAGATAGGAGGAGGTTCAGAGGAAGAGGGGTACATGTAGATCTGAGACAGAGAATGGGATAGAGTATAGGAAGGGAGGGGAGACAGTGGCAGACAGACAGACAGAGAGGGAGAGACTGAAATAGAGAGACTGAAAGAGAGAGACTGAAATAGAGAGACTGAAAGAGAGAGACTGAAATAGAAAGACTGAAAGAGAGAGACTGAAATAGAGAGACTGAAAGAGAGAGACTGAAATAGAAAGACTGAAAGAGAAAGACTGAAAGAGAGAGACTGAAAGAGAGAGACTGAAAGAGAGAGACTGAAAGAGAGAGACTGAAAGAGAGAGACTGAAATAGAAAGACTGAAAGAGAGAGACTGAAATAGAGAGACTGAAATAGAGAGACTGAAAGAGAGAGACTGAAAGAGAAAGACTGAAAGAGAGAGACTGAAAGAGAGAGACTGAAAGAGAGAGACTGAAAGAGAGAGACTGAAATAGAAAGACTGAAAGAGAGAGACTGAAATAGAGAGACTGAAAGAGAGAGACTGAAATAGAAAGACTGAAAGAGAAAGACTGAAAGAGAGAGACTGAAAGAGAGAGACTGAAAGAGAGAGACTGAAAGGGAGAGACTGAAAGAGAGAGACTGAAAGAGAGAGACTGAAATAGAAAGACTGAAAGAGAAAGACTGAAAGAGAAAGACTGAAAGAGAGAGACTGAAAGAGAGAGACTGAAATAGAAAGACTGAAAGAGAAAGACTGAAAGAGAGAGACTGAAAGAGAGAGACTGAAAGAGAGAGACTGAAAGAGAGAGACTAAAAGGGAGAGAGATAGAGAGACTTTCAAAAGGAGGAACAGAAGAATTAAAGACAGAGAAAGAGTGGAGCTAAATGTAGATGAAGGGAGATCTTAATTACTTAATAGGAATTACAATAAGAAAAGTAGAAACAGATATATATATTATTGAAGAAGGAGGTTTAACCACATGAAGAGAATAATGAAAACAGATAAATAACAACTGTTTTTTGTTATAACCGACAAGAATTAATAGAGGTAGAATTGGATCAAGAGAAGTAAACATCTTCAAAAAGAAAGAAGGTGACAAAAGATGTAAAGAAGATAACACATACATGTCAAGGAATCTTTTTTTTTAAATGAAGAGTAAAATGATAGTATTAAGTAAATTAGAAAGACAGAAACTACCATGCATAATATTCTTAATTTTAAAAAAGAGAAAGGGAAAGGGGAAAGTGGAGACAAAATAACAACACATAATTGTTAAAAGTGGAAATAATATGAAGAGTAGAAAGAGATGGCACTGAGTCAACACAGGAATGTTTTATCAACTTGAGTCACACATTTCAAAATATTTGTAGATGTTTCCAAAAACATCTTTAAAGTACTTTGACCTCAAGCACCAGTATCCAAGTGCTGCTACATTGTACATGTACATGTACTGTATATTATGATAGCCAATTCGAAAATAATAAAGACATCTCCATTGTTTAACAATCTTACCATTTTCTTTCTGTTTCTTTAATTGCTTTCTTTTTATCTAGCTATTTTCCTATGTTTGTTTTGGTGATGCTTAATACTGCTACTTTCTGTGAATCATCCTCTTTATGTGTCTCTTTTCTTCTTTTTCTTTGGCTTTCCTTCTTTTTATTTCTCTTTCTTTCTCTCTCTCTCTCTCTCTCTCTCTCTCTCTCTCTCTCTCTCTCTCTCTCTCTCTCTCTCTCTCTCTCCCCCCCCCCCTCTCTCTCTCTCTCTCTCTCTGCCTCTCCAACTCTTACCCTGTATACTGTCATGAATCTTAAAAGCAGACAAAATCTTTTACATATTGTTTTTCTATCTATATTCTATTTGGATATAAGAGCTTGTTTTTCTATTTTGAAATTATAGACCATTTCAGTATAAACCACAACGTTTGTATACCGTATATACCAAGGTATATATCATTACAGCCAAATGAGCTAATATAGGACAAAGCACTACCATTGAAAACTCTCTCCACTTAAAGTGACTGTGATAAACATTTACCGACATGTTTGCACACTCTACTCTACTGCTAGTAATGTTCTACTGAATGAGTACACATCTTTGCCCTCAGTCATCCAAGCTTTATTCTGTCAAAAACCTTGTGTGGGCTAACAGATCATTATTTCAAAAACTTTTTGGGTTTTACTATTATTCATCCAGAACCTTTCTCTGGCTTGATCAATTATATGCCATAGTGTTAAAATGGTTTCATATTAAATTAGAGGTCACATGGTCAGTAAGGAAGATTAATCACATTCTTTCATAAAGCCAAAGGGCATTGTTGGGTGTCCATGAAGGTAGACCCCGACACAGGAGCGAAAGCCAGATGAATGCAACTCAAAGAGGATGTCCTCAGAAAAGGAACAAAGGATTCCTGTGCTCACTGGACAGACACAATAGAGAACCTGAGTGACCTAATTCAACCAACTGACCACTGATATAAAGGTGTGTCCTCACCACTGACCAACACAATAGCTGGACAGTGTCCATTCATTCAGATTTATAGCTTCCTCCTTCACACATGTTTGTATACAGTCTATCTTTTCATCATGTACATGTAAAAACTTTTGTAAAAATATTGTACAATTCAGCTCCTGAGCTGCAATGCATATTTTTGAATGAATAAACCATAATGATTATTATCATTGTAATTTTTATCACTGCCAAATGCGGTTGCTATTAAAATTCAAATCCATTAAAATTGGTATTTGGGACAGGGGACTGACGTCACAATTCTTTTTCTGTCCAAGTGTGACGTTCTAACAATAATGGTTGTTATTGTCTGATTTTGAACAACTGTTTATCAATAATTTTAAAATGTACACAATATTCACTTCTGCAGCAATCACCAACAAGATAAGATATTGTCAACTGCAAAGTAAACAAAAATGTCTGGATGAAAATGCCTTTACATTGATGGTCCAAATATATACATGTACAGTATCTAGTGATTTGGTTTCTAAACTTTACATTGTTTCTGACCACTAATTATTCAGCAATAAAATGCATCAGAAACGTCAGCTAGTCACGACTATTTTGACATCATTCCTTTGTTTGGCAATGACAGCTAACCATTCCACATAATCTGTTGTTTACCATTCACAGAAATACACAGAAATATGATGACAGCATTGTTTACTAGCATTCATGCATTAAACCATACCCATCTGAACTGGTTTACATCCTAATTAGGAGATTCCCAGAACAAAGCATTTACGCGAGCGAAAAGTTCAATAACTTTTGATACGCAGAAATATGACGATATCATACGTACTGTAGTTGAAATATTATATATCCTAATAGTCATTTACAAACCCTAAGACCGAATGTATTTGGGGAATTCCAGATTGAGTAAACAGCATAATGGGAACAAAGTCTTCATGTTTACACACAAATCAGAATACAAACACATATACATGTATGTCCTGCTTTCATTTGTTTCAATTAACCCACTGTTTACTGAATTCTCTCATCCTAATAGGATTATTACAGGAACCATCCTGTTCCGGTAAGCTTTGGGTCTTTATTACAGTAAAGACTAGTAAAAATCAGGGAAATATATCTACCGTACGCACATGAATACGTCTGCCAGAATAAACTATCCCAATCTTACTTTAATTTTCATTACAAATTTGAGAATTTTAATAATTCTTCTCTCTAATGCCATCTGTGATTCCTGATATGGAGTAGAATCCAGTTGGCTGAAAAGTTTACACAACTTTAAATGAGGTAAATTTAAGTCAATCAACAACCAATTCTAAGATCAATTAACTTTCAAGTGGGTTACATAATATTGAGATCTATACTTTAGTTGATGCAAATACTATATTTTGACATTTTTGTCAACATACAATAATACATGAACATGATGTCAATATGTGCATGACATCAATTTTTTATGGCAATCTAAATAAGTCTCAAATGTCAAATTATGACATGCAAATTCATATTTTTTAAAACCTGAAACAATAAAACAAACTATGGTGCCATTATTGCTACAGCTGAATTTAAAAAATTACGTGAAAGTTCAACGAGTTCATAAAACTAATAACCAACCCAATTATTCTAAAGTATTTTTGATAAACAGCTTTGTCATCAAAACACCCACGGTACAATGCATGGATAGACTTGAATAACACAATACAAGTTACCCCAAAATTGAACTTGACTTGGTGTGTGGGTGAATTCATCGATTTGAGCAAACACACAAAAAATGTCCAGAGGCAAATTCATGTTTAAAATAGAAATATGATTTTCAATAGGAAAAAACATCATACATGTAAATATGATGTATCGTACAAAGAGTTAATTATTCCTGATGACAGAGCACAATAACTCCATAACATTTAGCACTTTTTCAAATGAATATTGTGTGAGTCAATAATAGTTTTGATCTCATTTTATATGATCGAAGAAAAATCTAACACTGTATGTACATGTAGTGCATTATAGGCCAACTTTATTACAGAGCAAATATTTACAAGAGGAGATAATTTATTGATGGAATTCCTATTTAAACAGTTACACACCCATGTGTTATTTGATACACTCCTTTGATAAACGCATTCGAAGGTTATCGTTTTACTCAGAAACAGTGCTACATGTACATGTACTTGTATCGTACATGTAAATAGGCTTAGTCAAAACAATTATCATACTGTAATTTGTACAAGAAATACATTTTTTTTTCTATCTTTAAATTCTCATTCCATAAATTGGTTTAACAGTGTATACAATGTATAATGTACACAAGGCCTACTGGTACATGTTTGTCGGATTTGTCCACAAATCACAATTAAAACAATTTCCCACTGGATTTGTAATACTGAAGAGGAATAGTATACAAGTAGGCCTACATGTATATATGCATG